CCAGTACATGTCCAGGGCCCGTCTGGAGTTTGCTAGAGAGCATTTAGATGATCCAGAAGAGGATTGGGAGAATGTCATATGGTCAGATGAAACCAAACTAAACTCAACTAGACGTGTTTGGAGGAGAAATAATGCTGAGTTGCATCCAAAGAACACAATACCTACTGTGAAACATGGGGGTGGAAACATCATGCTTTGGGGCTGTTTTTCTGCAAAGGGACCAGGACGACTGATCCGTGTAAAGGAAAGAATGAATGGGGCCATGTATCGTGAGATTTTGAGTGACAACCTCCTTCCATCAGCAAGGGCATTGAAGATGAAACTTGGCTGGGTCTTTCAGCATGACAATGAGTAAGAAGCATTTCAAGGTCCTGGAGTGGCCTAGCTCGTCTCCAGATCTCAACCCCATAGAAAATCTTTGGAGGGAGTTGAAAGTCTGTGTTGCCCAGCGACAGCCCCAAAACATCACTGCTCTAGAGGAGATCTGCATGGGGGAATAGGGCCAAAATACCAGCAACAGTGTGTGAAAACCTTGTGAAGACTTACATAAAACGTTTGACCTCTGTCATTGCCAACAAAGGGTTTATAACAAAGTATTGAGATGAACTTAATTTGCAAATAAATTCTTTAAAAATCAGACAATGTGATTTTCTGGATTTCTTTTCTCTTCTCATTTTGTCTCTCATAGTTGAGGTATACCTAGGATGAAAATTACAGGCCTCTCATCTTTTTAAGTAGGAGAACTTGCACAATTGGTGGCTGACTAAATACTTTTTTGCCCCACTGTATATGATATGACAATAAACCTTTTGAATCTAAATGGCAACAGTTCAAGTAACAGTGAGGAAACATGATTTCAATTCACAGGGTTAAACTGGTAAGCGATGAATAGCAGAATGTGCTCACCCTGCAGGGGTTTTATTTGTAATATTGACTGGCCGCTTCACATAATCCATTAGAACATATCAGTGGTTATAGTTTTGAAGGAAGGTCTCATTGTTATACTGCATCACACTGCTCAACCAGATGTAAGTTTATTAGGTTTTAATTCATAATCATTATCGAAAAAGGCAAATAATTGTTCCTCTAAAATTGTCTTTAATAAAGAGGTCTGTGCTTCCACATATTTACAGGGCAAACTGTTTTACAAATGGAAGAAACTTGAGTAGGAAAATCGTTGATAGTTGAAATGAAAAATGAAAATAAAGGGATCATTGTTTCTGCAAGATAAGAACAAGTTTAAAATAAGAGAGAATATGGCATCAAGGAGAGTTTATCTTTTGGGCCAGTTGTGCTTGAATCCTCTGTAGAGAAGAAGAAAAAGACAGAATGGTTAACATACTTTGATGAATGTATTAGTGAAGGCAATGAATCTAATGCACTGTAAATGTTTACCTGTCAGATTTCCCAGCCATGTACGACATACTCTTTCCACCTCCAGAATTAGGTTTTTGTCCCTTGGGTTTTTTCTTTTGGGATTAAAACATTTAAATTAGTCATGCACGCATAAAAAAACCATATTGTCAATAAAGAAATTAATCAACAAATACCTTTTTCCTAAAATCATTGGATTGCCGGTTTGGATCGAACTGAGTGTTGTCCGTTGGTTTGTTACCTGTAAAAATAAAGTAGGTGCCATGAGTTTGATTCATTTTTATTATTTAATATACAAAGACCAACTGAAGAGAAAAAAATAAGTGACAATAAATAAAATATATACACACCAGCAAAGACTTTGAGGTCTGACTTTCTGTAGTCGAATGGCTTGAAGGGTTCTGGTGGAGGTGGTTCAGTCTTCTCGGACTTCTCTGCAGATTTCAATAGCTTCTTACTCGGTTTGGGAGTCGACTCACCAACGTCACTGGCGACCCTCTCTCTTTTCGTTCCGGGCTTTACAGATTCCTAATGAAATTGGTCAGCAACATTATTTTCTGTACAATACTTCCAATAAATACTCTAATGATTGTATTCTTAGATTGATGTGCTGTGTTTCACTAACAAAACACATCCAGTGATGGGACAAGAAGTATGGGGGAGGCAGTTCTGAGGTACAACTAATCAAACAGCTCTTGTTTTGATTATCTTTGATTTATTAATTTTCTGGGATTGCTCTATTTATGGTGCACCATTACATTGAATTTAATAACATACACCAAGGTAATCTTAAGGAATTAAAGGAAATGATAGAGAATAATAATAATGGATACTACCTTCAAACATTATGATTATCTTTACTGCATACTTGACAAATATATTTCTTTGTACCAAACAACAGTTTAATACTGTATTGGCCTCTGATCGAAAGAATTGCAGTTAATCAAGTCTACATTTTTTGACTCTTTAGTGAGGAAACATTCTCAAATAGAGAACCTAGCTTTTGCTGCCATCTAAAGGTTTGAATGCTCACTTGGCTTGACGCTCTGAATCATTAAATTGTTGGGTCTCTGTTAATTGACAGTAGCCTCATCCCAATACCCCTCCTCGACTCCTCTCTTCCCCTCCTCTGGGACTTGACCCGGAAATCGATCAAGACACGCCATTTTGAAGGACGTCCCAATAGCTGAAATGCACACGGAGGGGTCGAGTAGGGGTGAGGGAGGAGACGAAAGGGAGGATACACGAGAGCAGACTATGCGGAAGTGTTTTCACTACTCGCGTATAAAAGCCCCGCCCCCACCTTCACAGCTGGTCGATTTAAAAAACCGACAACTGGAAGATGAGTGGAAAAGCGTCACATAAATGTATAAGTGCTCACAGCTCTGTGGGAATTATTATGTGCAATTCATTTCTAAAAGGCTTTCACATTACTATAATTATAGTTTTATTTAAATGTAGGCTACATTTTACACCAAAACGGAACACAAAAGCAGGACCAGCATCATACATTGAATTCCTTGACTAACAAGAGAAAGAGTCATTCATTTACATAAATATTTAACCAGAAATGGGCCGGTTCTAAGGGGTTATTCAGTTAAGCCCGATGAGAGGGGATACAGCTGTGCACATGTCATCATTAACAGACGTCGTTTAAGAGTGACGTTTGAGTGAACGAGGGCATCCCAATTAATACCTGAGGACTCCTCTGTCCTCGCCTCACCTCCTGTCTCTTGCTCGCATCTTACGGAGGCGGAGCTAAGATGCAAGGAAGGGAAGCGATTGAGGGAAAGGAGGAGTCGAGGAGGGGTATTGGGATGAGGCTACTGTGTTATTCAACGACCTGTGGGTGAGTGCCACGTGAAGTTAAAATCCCTACAATGTATTAACTTGCTCAATAAATGGTTTGGTTTAAGACATGTGAAAAAGACTACAACATCATTACACAATTGATATAATGATACAGTAATTTAAAACACTTTTCTTTTATGCAAGTTGGAGCATAGTGGAGTGTGTGTCAAGTAGTCTGTTCCTAGTTAAATTAAAGTGTTCTACAGTGGTAGTCATCCAGCTAGAAGGTCAGTTCAGGGCATGCTTCATATTACATTAATACAATCACAGCATAAGATGTGAATGACTGAGGGTTTAAAATTAGATTTAGTGGCTAAACTATTTCTTTTTAAACATTAGTGCAGCATACTGCAGGCAACAGTACGGACTTAGTAAGGGCAGTTGCAGTACATACTTAAAGTAAAAAGAAGAGTATGTGATTTAGAACACAGCCATAATATATCAGTGCACAAGAAGCTTTGGAAATCTTTCTTTCAAACTGAAAGACAAAAAAAACTTCACTGCCAAAGTGGCATCTGAAACATACAATGATCCGATCAGAGCCAATTGTTGCCTGCAGTTGGCAGGTTGACGAGCGTTACTTTCAAGTGCTGCTGCCAACTATAATAAATGCCACCAGACGGCGCGAACATGCTTGTTTGATGCCGCCTTCTCAACTTAAAACAAACTTTCACTTGAGCCTTCATCACACAATGGATTGCTGTGGAGCATGTCATTACTGAGCACAATACAACTCTACTCAAGGTATCCAACTCAAAGCCCACGCATGGTCAGAGGCGAGAGTCCAACAGAGGGGACCATTCTTTCTGCTGCACAGTGGACTGACAAAGTCTCAAACTGAGCATTTCAAACTGAGAGGAAACACCATATGGTGGCAAGAGGGCATAGAAGTAACTTAGTAGGAGGGCGCCAAGCAATACCCTCGACAGACAGAGCTAAAAGGAAGTGGGGCTTTTAAGCAGAAAGTAGATATTGTTGTTCCCCAGGAGGGAAGAAAGGTGTTTGATGAGCGGAGGACAAGTCTTTAATGCTGCAATCCCACTATGTCTTTTTTCCCCAGGCACATCATGTGACAAATATATATTAAAAGGCCACTGAAATGCCAGTTCTGCAGACTGGCAGCAGTGGTTCAATCGCTTGTGAGTCACTGTATTTATGCAGGAATACCAGCAAATGGGGGGCATTGAAGAGGGTTAAACTGTCTATTACAGCACTATCTTTAATATGCTGAGCCAGGCTCTTGGGTGAATATAACACTTGTGATTGTCACAGATATGTATCTTCCCAACAGGGACATCAAAAGTGAAGTTGACTGTGTAGCCAATCTAAAGTGGCTGAGGGGAAATGTAAGCACAAAAAAGCACATGACTTACCGCTGCCTGCTCGCGAACAGTGGGAACGTTCAGGAGAGACTCCTGGTAGCTCTGCTTAGCCTTCTTTCTCTCATCTGTGGATATATTGCATGCAAATACAATGAGGGGCGTTTCATTGAAAAAGGTGTACATTTGGAGCATATTCGACCTCCATTACCTGCCACTTTCTTTGTGAGTTCCTTTTTTTCTTCCTTTGCTTTCTTTTTGGCATCCAACTCCTTCTGTTGCTGCTCAATACTCTGCAGCTTCCATCTTTTACTTATCTGTAAATGTGAGATGGTACAGCTATGGATATTCAAATATTTAGCTTTTTTTAAGAGGAAAAGACAAATAGGTCTAGAGGTCGATGGATGGATGGAGTTTTTACATACCTCAAATATTTTGGAAGATGGGTCAAACTTGGCATTCTTGCTGATGTGCACATTGTTGGAGGGCAAGTACTAAAATCACAAAGAAGATAGTTGAATCCAGTGTGTCTGTTTAAATAAAAACGCAACATTACTGAGGGGTTATCGCTGGTCATCTCTTACCATTCTGAAAGGGTTTTCAAAAGACTCAATGATGCGTCTGGCTTTCATTTGACCCACAGGAAGGGATTCTGTGTCATTCTGTGTTTCCGGCTCCTTTAAAAAAGACGCAGAGTTATCACATAAGGTATCACATTTGCGTGAGAATCGGCCAGCTGAAGTAAGGTAACTAAAAGTCTTTACCTCAAACTGTGTGATTTTAGCTTTTGCTACAAGGCCACTTGTGTTTTCTTCATCAACATCCATTTTGGGCTCATCCTCTGCAAAGAGCATCCCTTGTTTGATGGGCATTTCTGAAAATAAATACACAAGTTACAGGCCTGATAGGCTTAAATAATAAATTACTGGAATAATGCAATTAAATATGTGCAATTATGAGGCTTACCATCAGTAGAACAGTTGTGGAGGTCGCTCTCAGAGACCCTGGATGTATCATGAGGACCAAACAACGTGACGTCAGCCTGGAAAAGTATACAAAATTGAGTTAATTTTGTCCCATTTGTTGTTTTTAACAAATACTGAATGCAAAACACATACATTCCATCTGGTTTTTAACATTTCTTAACTAACCTTTTTTATGGGTGTGAGTCCTTTCTTCTTTTGAGCTGCAATCTCAGCCTGTGTAACGTGTAGAAAAGATTGCAATGGATTTAGATGCAAACATTGATATTGCACAAAAAAAAACTTCCCTACGGCAGAGTCCTGCATCGGGAAAAGGTGATTCGTGGGTGGTATTTTTTCAAACACTTTTTTCCGGGTTCGGTTCTTGGTAAAACAAAGGTGATGCGGGTCGGGTCGCGGGTGTTGCATAATAAATATGTTAAAATAATAATAATTTAGTTTAATGTTTAAATCCTCAGGACCGCGCATAATCATAACCTCTGCAGCGCATCAATCTGCTGCTGAGCACACCACATTCTGAATGGCTGAGGTGAAGCTCTCTAGCGGAGAATACAGCATTTTCAATATCTCTTCCTCAAGAGCAAAATCCAACGTCTGGGAGGCTTTTGGTGTCATCCTAGATGGAGAAAATAACCAACATCCCACGCTTTTTGAGCCAAATATGCAACTGCGTGTGTTAATAATTGCACGTTTTCACTGCTCATATATATGCGGGTTCGGGTCGGGTTGCGGATCTAATTGGCAATATGTGCGGGTAGCGGGCCGGGTTCGGTATTGCACGTCGCGGGGGCGGGAGGGGGTCTTGAAAATCAGACCCGTGCAGGACTCTGCCCTACGGCTACGCCCCATGTTTTCTTACCTTGAGGAGAGGCATTTCTCTGGCTTGCTGCACTAACAAATGCAGCTCATTGACCTGCTGCCTCACCAGCGGGGGTACAGGGTTACAGCAGGCGATGATGCCCTGTGGCTCTCTGAGAAGAAAAAAAAAAAATTACTGTGCTACAGGGAGAGAACCAATGCTGAAGATGAATCAAACTAAGTGGGAAATCTAATGGACTTACTTTGGCAGCTCCTCAGATATCTTGTTCATCATATGAGTGGGCAGAACGAATCTAAAACACATTTCAAAAACATGTCAAGACAGACTGTGAATAATTCTAAAAGCAGAGATTGTCACACAAATGTGGGTTATAAAATCATGATTGGAGAGAACTATAAATAGGGAAACAGCTAGAGGATTTCTGGAACAACGAGTCGATCTTCCAAACAGCATACCCGGTGCTTTCATCTTCCTGCCTGGCCAGCTTGTCCCTCCAGGCAAACAGCAGTCTGAAGGCAGTGAGCTGCTGGGTGTTAAAGGACCTTTTCTGCTTCCTCTGCAGCTCCAAATATGACTCCTCTGTGAATATAGGCTTCACATATTTCTGTATGGAAAAAGAGCACATGATGAATGTTGAAGAATGTTGAAGAATGTTAGAAAAGGCCAGAGACCATGGTGTGAACATTAAAAAAGCAATTAAGAAATGGAACAGTGGAATAGGAGTATAGAAAGTGTAGGTGTTGATTTAATCCTGATGGTGTATGCAGTGAGATTTGTTCTTACCTTCAGAGAGATGTCTTTGCTCTTGTTCCAGACACTCTGCAGCAGGCCAGGCTGCCCGTGGTTAAAGTCCAACAGCTGTTCCCGCACACAGTCGTAGATGTAAGGCAGGAAGTGTGTGTCTGACCGAGCATACTGCACCATCTCCTCTGGCAAGGGGCTACAGGAGTGAGATACAAATGATTTAAAAGTTGAAAATAATCACATTTTAAAATGTACATTTACTATTTACATGTATATAGACTCCTGCATTTACTTGTTCATGTTAAACCTTCTCTGCAACATTTAGCTTATAGTATTTATTATTTGACATGTATATGCAGGGTTCCTGCAGGTTTCACCAACTCAAATGCAAGACTTTTTAAGACCTTTTTGAATAGAATTTAAGACCTATTTCACGGCAAGAAAGTAGGAAGGAAAATTGCTATGAAAGAAGAAATACGTCCCATAATTACTTCCAAAGTAAATGTATTCATGTTCAACATAAGAACAATGACTAACAGCATGTTAACAGCATAACAGTACACAGAACTATTAGACAAAAAGTGTGTAGTGAGTGTGTCTCTGTGTGTGTGAGTGACAAGAGCTATATTCCGAGCTCTGCTGCCTTCATGCTGTTGGATGATTGGTGTTTAGCTACGGTATTTAGCGTCCACAGCACCTCCACTTTTAGGGTTGACGTAGACCCAAACGTCACCCGGAGGTCCCCCGATGTTTTTGCGGGAGCTGCTGCACCAGCTAACGCTGCATTAGCAAAACAAACGCTAATTTTGTTTGCAAAAGGTGCAGCAGGCTTCAAACACGTTCCCCTCCACTGGTTTCAACCAAGCACTAAATTCAATGTTTTCCAACCAAATACGGTTGAACTTACACTTCCCCATATTTATTTGTAAGTAGATTAGAAGATACCAGAGTTTAGCTGAAGCTTGGTTGCTAGGTTACTAGCTGGGTGTTCTCCGATAAGGGGCCGGGGGAAACAAAGTTAGTGATTACTGGTTCCATGTTGATTTATTTCAATACATATTGTTGGGGGGAACTGAAAGGCTATTACCGTACTGGTTACTTTGCAGCCCGGACATTTCCCCCAAAACTCATTTAGACGCGATCGCAACAAAGAAGTACCTTTCAAATCCAATCATTTTCAAGACCTTCTAAATCATATTTAAGACCTTTCATACTTTTTCGATCATATTTAAGACTTTTTAAGGCCTTCAATTCTGATGATCAAATGTAAGACTTTTTAAGACCCCGTGGGAACCCTGTATATAGTTTATTTCATCTGTATTACTTGCACATGTTGCAAGATAATCTGAACTATTCTATAATACTCTGTTTGTCCGGCAGTGGCTCAGTCAGTAGGGGCTTGGACTGTGAGCCGTAGGGTCGCCGGTTCAAGTCCCCGAACAGACCTAAATATGGAGTGTGGACTTCTACTTGGAGAGGTCCCAGTTCACCTCGTGCCCTGCCGTGGTGCCCTTGAACAAGGCACCGGACATCCCCCTTCCCCCCTAACTCCCATTGCTCCCCGGGCGCTGTACAATAGCTGCTCACTACTCCTAGTACTAGACTCCTGGTAATAGGATGGGTTAAGTACAGAGAACACATTTCACTGTGTGTGCTGTGTGCTCTGCATGTGTGAGCATTAAAGAGGGTTTCATCCCTCCCTATTTCTTCTTGAACTATCCAACTGTTTTTTTAATTTGTTTAATTGTTTTATGTCATGTATATTCATGTTACATTGTTGGAGGAGCATGGGACTAAAGATTTTCATTGCCATATCTATACTGTAAGCTAATGTGCATAATGAACAACTGAAGCCTTGAATCTCTAAGAGTAATATTACATCAAGTTGGAGATCAATGCTGATTTTCCTGCATAAGAGATAGCTATCAATCAGTTAAACCCTAGAACATTAACTATAAACACTAAGCATAGAGTAGGCCGTGTCATCTTCATACCGGAATCCTCCAGTCAGCCAGCTGGTAGCGTTTAGTCTGACTCCACGGTGCAGTAGTGGTTTGAGCATGGTGTCGAGGGAATGTCTGGCAAAGTTCAGAGCTCGGCTGGCCTGATGCGTGGTCAATAAAGGTTGACGCACATACAAGCCCTACAGTCCCCTCTGGAGCCACTCCATGTCAGAGTCCAGCGCCGTGAAATATCTTGAGAAAAGGAGAGAAACCACACCTATTAAATCTTTAAAACATATATTTTTTCAGACAAAGAAAATCACTGCTTTGATCAGAATATCAATACTAGGACACATATGTGACCTTTTTTCATTGGGATTTTTTTTCACGATCTCTCAGCCAGTTCAAGCCGCACCCCGCCCCAAAAAACACACTTTTTCACCAGGTATCTACAGTGTCGTCGATTCACTTTGGGGCTCCCCACACTACAGGACACCCACTCAACCTTCCATCAAAACTTGTTAGAAAACTTTGAGTCTGAGACAACTGAAAGAAGTTCCAGACTCAGAAGGTTTTAAAGTAAAGCTTCCAGAAACGTACCTACACTGGTTGGAGATTTTCCCTTTCTACAAGGTGTCTTAATAAAACTTTCATAAGGGAGTCTGAGCCTCCTTCCAAAAATCATCTGCTTGAAAATAAATGTATCTCTTGGGGTATTTTGATTTGGGAAAGGGATGACAGAACGCAGCAGAAGACATTCAGACAGGTTTCTCTCTAAATATCTTCAGTTTAATCATATACTTGTGAAATAAGAGAAACATTGTTATATATTGTCCACTGCATAGGTAAAACTCATTAGCACAAAACTTAAATGGTCACATAATGCTGTCAAAATTATCTGCGTTAACGCGCTATTAATTTTTTGAATTAATTACGTTAAAATACTTTACGCATTTAACGGCATGTGCAGAATGGCCCGCCCCATAACAGTCCCACCAGTGGCAGCGCCAAGGGTATGGCTGGGGTAGGCTACACCCAAATACCAACATGATGTAAAGTAGCAAAATAGTCCGCCAACTCGCCGCCAAGGAATTGCCACAGACAGCAGTTAGTAAGATTGATTTCGTAGCCCACTTGTCTGGAAAGTACCGAAGACCAGAAACCGAGCATTCCTGAAGTACGTCGCCCCCGTTGATAGAAATAACGCGTAATGAATTAAGACCCACGGTTTGAATGATGATAGGTGTGTGGGCTTCTTTCATTTTCACACACAGAACAATGTTATAATAAACATACATACTGTATGTCAAATGGTATATCCGCCTTCTTTCATTTATCTTTCCATTCCCACACAATAACATAAAGAATGCATATTATTGGACATAGTTCGGATTGTGATTAATCATGATTAATTAATTTTTAAGCTGTGATTAATCTGATTAAAAATGTTAATCGTTTGACAGCCCTAGTCACAATAGATCTCATTAAGCTTGACAATTGTAAATTTAGCAAATGTGTTGGTTTTCAGCTTCAAACTAGTGGTTTAGTTAATGTGATATGAATAACATGTGCAGTGTGGTAGCTCTGTGCAGTTGTGAAAATATGTCTAGAAGTCCTCAGATTCAAAATGTAAAACTGTTAAATAAATTATTTATGTATAACAGAGAGAATGTTTGCCAAAGAATTTCACTCTCTGCCTTTAACGGCTCGTTGTAGCTCCAATAGCTCCAGCCCCCACCCTCCCAGTGAGCACAGTGTGCTCTGATTGGTCGGAACGTTGTGAATCGCGCTGAGCTCCGTGGAGGTGTGGTTTCCTTGTTTAGCGACAGCGAAACACAGCCAAACTCACCCTGAGCGCACACAAAGTCACAGCCGAAGTAAAAACAATAAGTGTGGCTTGATATTGAGTAAGAAAAAGGTTGATAAACGCTGTGAGAATGGGTCTGCAGAGAGAATTTCGTAGCGATCCCAACTGTCTGTTATCAGCCTGCAGCCAGGGAGGAGAGATCAGCAGAGCTGCATGCACTGAGTGTGTGTGTGAGGAAGTCCGTGGATTGGTCAATTTGGACCAATCAGCGGGGGCTTAACGTAACGGCTCCGCGGACGTAACGTAACGGCTCCACGGATTGGTCCATTTGGTTCCGGGTAACGCATGACATCATGCGGTACCCGGAAGAATCAATGGACAGTGACGTATCTCCAACGAGGCGTTTTGGGGAGGTATTTTCTGTGTTAAGAGTTTTACTCGCTACAGGGTGTACTTTGGTTTTGACTCTGCAGACCGTTTACATGCATAAAAACCTTCATAACACACAAGGGGACGGGTAATAACCAGAAAAGCATGACATGGGATCTTTAACAGGATACAGGAAAAAAATGTTACTTGTAGATCAGCGCCATTACCTTGACAATAGCAGGGTCAGTGAATGCCTCGTTGAGAATGTACAACTCGCTCCGGAGCTCAATGGTGTCGATGATGAAGTCCTCGTCTCTGGTGGAGATCTGCATCAGGCAGGTGAGTCCGAGGAAGCTCCTGTAGGAGTGGTGCTGCGACAGAGAAAAAAGCATGTTAACATTTTTTTTTAAAACACAATAACTTACTAGCGTTGCTATCAGGATTGACAAAAAATGGACCGTTGAAAAGTCTGCATTATTAGCCTTGGAAGAGCATTACTGTTGTATTGGATCAGATGACATAACATAGGTATTAATGATATTGTGCCGACTCCCTCCACACCCATGAACTTCTTCTTATCCCTTACCTCAAGATCCACTGCAAATTCAGACAATTTGCAAAGTTTCTCATTCAGAGCCACCAGATCCTCCAATGTTTCAATGAAGGAGCATTTGGTCTCATCCAGGGGTTTGTACATCTAAAAAAAAAAACAGCAACACACAAATTACACATTTAGTAGAAGCTTAACCAGCAGTGAGAGGATTATATCTAAGGATTAGTAATGCTTACCAGCGGTTGTGGCTTAGAAAGAAGGCTTTCTGTTAATGTGAAATGATCCAGTTCATATTGGTATGGGTGGGAAAACCTACATGGGTCAGAATCAAAAGTTAACATGGACAAGAGGAAACAGCAAAAGACGAAATGTTACTTTTATACAGGAGACAAGTCTTACATGTCTTCAACATGTTCCTGAGTTCTCTGCTGGTGAATGAAGTCAGCCAGGGCAGCCGGGACATCAAGGTCCTCAGGTCTCTCTTTACGGATTTGTTTGTTGGTGAAATCTACGATTGGGGAGTAAGAGAGCACATGTGTTATAAATGTTAATGAGTTTATGAAAACACAAGATGGGGAATAATATGAGCGTGAAAAGTTTCTTACAGGAGGGAAGGGGCTTTACTGCATTGGGCTTGATGAAGATCTTGGGAACAAATGGTGTGTTGCTGTTGTCGACATTTTCCCTGAATTTCAGCTGAGGCCTCACAATATTCTTGGCATGGAGCAGACGGAACGTCTCAGAACGACTGCCGGAGCCTGAACCCTGATCAATAAAAGGCATTGTTTACAAAATGGGTGGGATTGTTAAAAAAAACTTTCTTTAAATGCTTGAATACTAGGGCTGGCACAAAGCGTTAAGGCTTGAAGGCAACCCAAACAAACTGGCATCTGCAAGCATAAGAGCCGAGAAGTTAATTTGCCAACCTTGCGATTCCAGCTGGAAACAACAATCTTGGGAGCCTGAAAGCCTGCGGGCAGGACAGGCTGCTGGCTCCTGTTCACCCCATCAGCTTCATCAAGAAGAATCCCCTGGAAAGCAGATGCAAGAGCTCAGTTAGTTGCAAAGACTTTTCCATGAAAAAATGTGTACAACATCAAAACTGAAGGAGGATCATACCACTCTTTCGAGGATGACGTCGTTCGAGTCCACGACCAAGTCGAACCTCTCCTCCAGCCCTGTCAGCTTGTTCCTGTCCTTCATGTGAGATCTGCAGCCATGGTGATGCATTATCTGACTCATGCTGACATGGGGACATAATGAAACATTTATTATTAAGAAACAGCGAGTAGCAATCAAATCCTTTGTGTGTCTTAAGGTTGGCACATCATTTTGGCATCCATACGTTGTTTGACAGTGGTTTTACGCCACTTGGCTGTCTTTGTATACCTTTAAAAACCAAATTGTATACATATTAGTAATGGCTGTAACAGAAAATCTCCCCACACCACCTCTCTTCTAAACAAGTCTTTAGTTTGTATTCTTTTTTTAATGCCAGCTACAGGTGAATTGGCCACCAACTGGATTTGAGTGTGGAACAAATAACGGGAATCTGTAATAAGGACCTTTAAGGACACACAGGTCCAGAAAGTATAAAATAGCCTTAAAGGTCCCCTATTATACTGTTTTTCATTAATATATTATAGGTCTCTAGGGATGGGTATCGTTTGAAATTTATTGATTCCGGTTCTGCTTATCGATTCCGGTTCTTATCGATTCCCCGTTTCGATTCCAAAATTGTAAAAGAAAGAGGTGAAACGTTTAGATAACAAAAATATCTTTATTCTTTTAAGCTTTAACTGACATTTTTACAAATAAAAAAATATACATGCAATGCAAATGTATTGCACAATACAATTATATTACAATTGTATTGATGTGCTTTATTTTAACTGAGCTATGCCTTTGGCAAGCTATTAACAGGCATTACACTGTGCCTTGTCTTTTTCTTTTTTAGTGTAGTGGAGCCTCCCTTCAGAGCGTTTACCGCGACCCATCTTTGTTGTTATGAAGTGACTGAGCTTGTGAACTCTCTACGGGAGGGCGGGGGGAGCGTCGCTGCGGGGCAACTGTGGACCTCTGTCGCCTGTCAGCGCAACTTACATGATGCCGTTTGAAAAAATTAAGGGCGGTGCCGGCCGTCAAAGGCATATTATTGCTATTATTATTATTATTATTATTGTTGCTATAATGCAGGAGTATTATTATCCAGTGGAATGCCCTTACCTACTGGCCTAGTTAAATCAACTACTTTTTTTTGTTTTGGCTGGGCAGTGTAGTTTTACACAGTCTTATTTGACTTTTTCAGGACTTGAAACTGTTTTTTGGGGGCAGACCCCCACAAAGAAAAAAATATATTTACACACGTAAGGTCATCATCTTAACAGTTTTTTATGCTCATCGAGTCATCCGTGAATGTGGTGATTACCATCTTGTTCAGCAAAACGCCTCACAAACTTATTAAGATCTAAAGCTTTAGCGCATTTTGATTCAATGCTGAGTACAGCCAAACTTGACAGTCTCTTCTCTGTCATTATAGACCGCAAATACCTCATTCATTCAGTACTTGGGGTCCGAATGCGCTGTCCCGTTCCAATTAAATCGCCGCCAATCACATTTCCTCGCTCGCACCAGGGGAGGGGTTACAAGTGTCTTGTGCTGCATTCACTTGCACTCAGACATTAGGGGATTTTCTCTCATGTCCGATCAGCCACAACTTTTATTTCAAAAACAAAGCTGCCAACTGGGGTAGCAGCTGGGGTGGCAAGGCTAGCAGTTGCCACCCCGGTAGATCTGCCCCTGCTTGACCGGTACTTGCTTTTGATCAAAGTCAATGCGGAAAACCTGCACTCACACAGGTAGGCGGAGGTGAAGGGAATGAGCACTTTTACAGCCTTTTTGGCGAGGTGGGGGAACTCGGTCTCCACAGACAGCCAAAAGTGTGGGTTCGTGCTCCAGATGCCTACTGACCAGCCATGATACAGGATGTTAGGTGCCAAAAACCATGATACAGATGTTAGTGCAAAATCTACAGCTCCTCTACCACAACCATCAGCAACAAGTGGACATGGAGAACTATATGAACTACATGTTGCAAAATCCACCGCGGAGAATAAACAGAAGGGCAACCATGGCAACCATGCTTGTGGGGGCTTATTTGCTGCTTTTGGTGTATTTTGTGGTGGAAGTACAGCGCCACTTACAGGCCCGGCTTATGTACTACAGCGTCTCCAGCGGGTCGAGCGGTCTCGTGTGGACGGACACGTTTATTGAGCCGATTCCGTGTATTGAGTCAAATTCGGTTTGTTTTCGTCTCCGTGTGGACGGGGTCTCAATTGATAAGGGTTACCTTGGTTGGTTATTGGCTAATGGTTACACAACCCAAAAAAACTTTATGACATCATAAAGTGGCCAACATCTGATCAAATCATTTTCAGACAGGTTTTTATACGAACGGATCAGGAGAAAAAGAGAGCAAATCTTTTTTTCCTGAAACTTTCAGAATCTCTTTACACAGAGGGGACACATATTTCTGTATCAAAGACATGAAAAAGTGGATTTTGCATAATAGGTGACATTTAAGGATCAGGCATACTCGTGTCCACAGCTCCTGACAAAGAGCACGCATATTCTTGAATGTGTGAGAGAGGGGGAGCAGGTGCCTGACTGAGCCAAAACTCAAAAGGAAGCAACATAATTGAACTCACCCCTGCAGGAGCTTATCTCCTTGTCTTTCACAGAACTCCTGGAAGCCCGGGAAGCTCCGATAGAAATCATACTCATCTCCAGTCTGAGGCAAGCTGGCGGATGCCTTGGTGGCAGATAACACCGCACCCAATCCATACTGCAGAGAGAGAGGATCAGCTGTTAGTCCATACCAAAACATAGTATGATCAAAAACATAGGGAAAGGAAACAATGAAATGAACAATGTGTATGATATTTTAATGCAAGATTAGGGCTTTCAAAACAAGGTTATTTCTGTGAAACTTGGCATATTTGAACTAACATACATGCAGAGTTTATGTTAAACTAGTGGAATGACTGAAAATATAGCAAAAACTTAATTCATAATGTAATGTGTTAGCTATGTATCTATCTACAACTATATGCTGGTGACAGCTTTTCTAAATGTGGATACGTATTACCTTTTCCCAAATAAAGAGCTATCTTTAGCTAAGTTAAATCGCCCATAGCTCAAATTGGTCCCAAAATGAGCAATGTCAATTAGCGAAACTATTTATCGACAGTTAATTTCCTTAAATAAATGAAGATTAACATCAACACATTTGCCTAGAGGCATATTTTTTTTGCAAACTATGGCAACTTCGACCATTACCTCACCAGTTAATTATAATATTAAAAGCTTGTGTCAACAGATACCTGTGCATCTTTTCTCACCAAGCCTAACTAATTTGACTACAGCTCGTAGGCACTAAAGCAGACCCACGTTGCCTACCTGACTGCTAGCCTGGACTCACAAACTGCGCGTGCAGAGTGCTTAGTTCACTCACTTTAACAAAAGTATCCGCGTCTTTAAAACCGGGACACAGGTCTTCCTTTTCCTCGTCGTTGTTTTCGGAATTTGGGTCTGCAAAGACACTGTTAGTGGAGTCTTTTCTCTTAGAAGAATCCATATTCCAGTTTCAGTGCTGTGTACATGTGTGCCGCAGGAAGCAGTCTCCTTCTCCACAATATTTTGTCTTCATAGCTGACACAAGGCAGGGTAGGGAGACACAGCGCCACCTGTCGGAGTGGAGTAAACGTTCCGCGAGACGACGGACTATATTTTCAACAATTTGTTTGAGAATAAGAGAAATATTGCTGCTTCAACAAATGTGAAATGTTTGGATTCACTGAATCCATTGCTATTCATTGTTGTTGATATGTCAGCATTCTTCCACATTTTATGTTTTTCTATATTCTACGTTCTGTGGATTGAATCCATCGCAACCTAAGAGAATCCACTGGATTCTCTTGGGTTGCGATCCAAATCAGGATTGGTCATGAATCATTATTCCACTGCATTGCCATGCTCTGGTCCTCAATGTACCCGTGCAATGCAGTAAAACTGCAGACACAGCATACCTCACCCATCCAACCTTTTTACCCCAGTGATGCACCAGACTGCTGGTACCATGAGGGGGCAGTATTGATATATGCAATATGCAGCAACTAAACTACATCTGCACTGTGTTGGTGAACACCAATCATGTGTCAGCCAATGTCTTTGTAAGAGCTATCTTAAACATATCCGAATATCTGCATTTTGCAGTTTTCAGCAATATAGGTGATGTTGTGGGTATGCCGGGGGATATTAATCATACATTAATACCCTCCCTTAAGTGTCTGGTGTAAAAATAAGTTACAGTATAGCCCAGTGTTGTGATTCAGCGGTCAATATCATGTCAAGAGCCATTGCCGAAGTATTGACACACCAGCTCATTATGGATGATCTGTGGTGTGTAGGGAGAAACCTCGCTTTTCTTCACTTCCCCTCCCTATTGATCTCTTCACAGGGTCCTCTCCCTCTTATTATCTTAAAAGCATCTCTGCAACACTGGCTCAATCAATATTTCACAGTAGCTCTCCATGTCATTCCCTTTTTTTAGTGGAAGGCATCCGAAGTTCAGAAGATATATGCTTGAATAACACAGATACATTATTCAATATATTCTTTGCAAAACCTACTGCACAAAGCCAACTACTTGAAATATCGTTTTAGATTATGTATTCTTTTAGATAGATTTATGACTTTAGAATGTGTGTGATGATAATCATTATTATTCGATAAAGCAATTAGTTTATTCACCAAAGTCTTTGCAAAGGTGATCTGTGTCCACCGAATAGGACATTACTGCTGCCATTTACCCTTATTTAAATGCTTTTTCATAATATTATGCATTTTATAGCTTTGATGGTGCCTCAAGGTAGCACTCAAATTCTTCCTGCAGTAAAAGACACTAAAACTGCTGATGCTGAAAATGACACTGTACCACCCATAATTCAAAGAAATCCGAGAGAATCCTCAGTGAATTGTTTTTATTAACTCCCTCATTTAGAAAACACAAATGCACCAAACAATATCATACATGCACAGCTTCAGCATATCAAGATCAGCTGATGACTTTTCAATGTGAAAATGTTACTGCCACGATCTCACGGAGATCACTTGGACATCAAAATACTGAGGAGTCACAACAGAAAGGCCAAGCGTTGTCACCCAGAGCTCTAATTGTATTTCTCCAACACTCTTTATCCAATTACAAATGTTTGGCTAACTCATTTATTTTCAATGAATTCAGCCTTTTTTTCTGATCTTGATAGTAACAAGAAAATTGTAAAGTTGTAATATTATAAAAAGAAGTACAAGTAGATAACACTACTTGTATTATCTACTGTGCACTGGTTGACTACCTTGTAACAGGTAGTGTTTGTGTCATTGCACCAAAAGGCTGTGTGTGATAGCAGCTGCTTAGAAATGTCTCTTTCTCTGCTCATGTATATTTCAGATTGTGGGTTGGAAAGAAAATTACAATTAGAAGTAGGAAACCACGGTTTGGTCTCGCAGTTGGGGGCGTTGCTTCAAATCACAACAAAATACATACAGTATGTACTGTTTACTGTATGAAGGCAAGACAGATCTCATAGCACTGGCTCTTAATTGTTATTCTAAAGCAACACTTGACCTTTGTGCAGAATCTTTGGAAGAAACAAAATAAAAGAAACAATCAGGAACAATATCAAACATTAAAAAAAAGAAAAAATCAAAGTCCAAATCAAAACATATCCACAGTACTGATACGTTACAAAAACAAAGAGGTTGGCAATGCTTCTATGTACCCAAGACACAAGTTCATACAATGCGTAAGGTTGTCTTTTTCTGTTCATATAATCAATAAATCAGCCAAAAAGATGCATTTCCTGTGTAAACATTTGTTAGCCTAACAATGACATTCTGTAATGAAAGAATGTGTACAGATTAACCACACGTAAAGCCACAAAAACAACATAACAGGATTCAAAGACCGCTTTCAGAAAGTCTTCAACACTCATCGTGGGGAGAAAGCATTTTGTCTACACATTGAAAACAGACTTGTACCTGACATGGCCTTCTGGATTATGAAGCTCGGTTCCATTTGTTCCTTTGCACTGGCTTTCATTGTAATTTGATTTTAATTACAATATATCATATTGCCCGTACTGACCTTGAATTGCTCTATTTGAATGTCCACATGCTTCAGGTGCCCAAAGCGCTGAACCAGGGTTAAGTACAAGAAATTAGTTTAAATGATATTCCCCCAGCAGAGATTTCTTGCAAACACACCGTAGTGTAGGCTAATAACCACACACACACACACACCCTTGAATCTTCCTGGTGTCATCTTGATGGGATTGTCCTGATTTAGTCCTCCCTAAATCCTGATACATTTGTCTTTTGTGGGTGTCATTAGTACCATTACTCCTATGCCCTTTCCCACAGGAGCCCCTCAGGCGTGCTCTAATTCATTAAGATGTTTTAATGTCTGCTAAATCATGGCGCATATCAGGCTTTCCATTCGTCAAGTCAGTCTGTTAAATGGACCCTTGTGTTGTGTGCTGACAGGTAACTGATATATCTGTTCCTGCCACTTTAGGGCCATTGAAATGTACTGTAGGGGTAAGCAGGTCTGAATACCTGAGCAGTGGGGTTTTTGCTGAAATACATAAAGGAAACAATGACAACACATACCACATAAAAAAAGCCAATACAACTGACAAGAAAGGACAGATTCACAAAGTATTAAAACACAGCTGACCATACATTTTGCCAAATAATGTCTAAGCTGGTGGCTAGATTTCAATGATCAGACTGGCACAATTGGCAGCACTTTAAATCCCTCCGCATCTTGACTGCGATGGCTGATTATGCACAATGACTGGCACGGCTACTGTGTGTCGCCCAGATGGATGTAAACTAGGGCTCCAACTAATGATTATTTATTAATCGATTTTTCTATAAAATGTCAAAAAATTAAGAAAAGTGAGCATCACAATTTCCCAGAACCCAAGAGATGTTTTCAAATACAGGTCTTCTTTTGTCTGACCAACAGTCCAAAACCCAAATATGTTATCACATGCATACCATGGCCACGGATAATTATGGATCCTGATTGGCGAAAGGTCTAGTAACGAGGGCATCAGAAACAAAACAGAGGGGTTTGTTTGCCATGATAAACAAATGCAACAGTACTAAAGTCTTTTGAAAAGCTAATCCTAACTCAAGGTAAATGTAACACCTTAAGAATCTTTTAACCACATCACGGTTTTCAAAATAAATTGAAGTTTACTCAGTTGAGTTTGTTCAGTTGACACAACCAAAGGTGTCGGATTGCAGTTAGAGAACATAAATTATGATAATCCAAACTGTTTGCTGAAATATTTGAGGTTGAAAGCCAATAGGTACATCTTGGAACATTTTATTTTTGTGTGAAACTTTTGTTAAAGTGATTAGGAATAGCTATTCACCTCTTAAAAAGTATTTAACTGCTGTTTTGAATCCTTAAGAATTGACCGTGTTGCTTTGCGATTTGAGTGCAATCAGTGAAAATATTCTTGGAATGGGAAAAATGCTTGTGTTGTAAAGCGGATTGTATATATTTTTTATATTATGATTGTTTGAATATTCTGTATATATTCTATATCTTTATTTTGTAGACCTATAGCAGTTGTTTGGCATGTGGCCATGGTATAAAGTGGAATAATACCCTCCGAGTTGGATTTTGTGGCGTCAAATGGATTGAACTCATACACACACCTTGTTGGGTATGGTGTGCATTTTTCCTTGATAAATGACTCCAATGACTTGTTGTTGATTATTTCCTGGTGATTGTTTCAGCATTAGTGTTAACGGAAATACACTGGCAGTCATATACCTCTCCTACTACTGCTGTATACAGGCAGATGTAATCTTCGTGAGTGCAGAGTAAAGTCCAATCCATCAATCAGCGGGCCATCAAAATAACTGGTCTGAGGCATTAAAACCTGTACGAGCCCTCACGGTACACATTCAGCTCTGCACAATCAAATGATAAAAGGTAAATGGCTTACACCGGCACTCTGAGCTGTTTTATGAGTTTCATCTGGGACAACTTTTAATGGAGCGCATAAGATGAAGGCGGCTGCAGTATGTTCTGAAACACTGAGCATCGCTGACTATTGTCTATAAGTGAGGCCGTTACAAGAATCTCCAAAGGCACGGGCACGGGTGAATGGACATGTTCCTAGTCGCCAATTCATATGTGGAGAGGTAAACTGAAAATATTCAAAAATACAAAATACAACTTCTCATCATGGCCTTTCGCAAGGTACACTAAGACCTTCAACAATAAGAATCTGTGAGGGATAAAATGTTGAGGAAAGCACGTAGCTATCTTAGCAACAACAAGAAGGCTGAAACTACTTTGGCACATGGATGGAAGTAAGTAAGGCATCTGTATCAATCTAGTCGAGAAAAAAAAGTGTTGAAATGTAGCATTGTTTAAAAAAAAAAAGCTAATTTACTGTTAATAAGTGCTTGACAGCATGCTCCACTCTTGTGCTGCCTCATACCCGCAATCTAACACTGCAAAATAGTATGTGGTCACCTCCAAAAATAAGAGAGAAAAAAAACCTCAGCAACTTTCACAAATTCAAGAAAAATAAAACCATTAACAAGGTTGAAAAAACAAAGCGGAGTTTGTCATTGTGTCACGACGTTGACCTGAATGTTGATATTGCAATGGCCAGAAGCAGGGAGAGGGGGCAGGTGTCCGCACTCCAGGCTCTCGAGCCGCGGGCACTCATACCTGCAACACACACAAAAAAAGTCAAACCTGCTGGAGGAAGTGGACGTTTGGCGGCAGCACCAACAGTTCTGGACATCCATTTAATTCCTTATTTTACTCTGCTATCTTACCTGTAGACACATCTGAAAACAGATTTGCAAAAACATTCTAAAAGAAAATTGGATACTTACATTTCCAAATCATGAAACACGCATATGGATGTTTCACAGGGATACTTATAATGTGGTGAAATTGTATTTATGTCTTGTTTTTATTATGGGATTATAAAGGGACCAGGGGCCTGATGCAGATTTCTCTCATCACTAATTTGTTATGTATGATTTAAGCGACTCAATGAGTTCTTATGGATCAATGACTATTTTCCTGTAATGACATCCATATAAACTCTTTCCTGGAAAAAGTATATATTATTTATGCAAAAGAAATCTCCTGAACCACACAGCTTCCCTTTCTATCCACACAGCACCACAGCACTCTGTTTTGCCTGCTAATGTGTTTTGCAAACATCTTTTTCTTTGCAGTATCCAAAGAATCTCTGGGAAAAAAGTAGCATATTTTTCAAATGAGGTTTAACAGAAAAGCCAGCGTGGAATTCTCTCTGTCTCAACTGCTGTTTTCAGGGATTCAACACAGAATATCAACAATGCAAATTAGCATTTAGAGCAGCAGAGGAGCCCCCCTGGTGTCCCTCAGGACAGTTATAGCATCTAGTAAAAGAGGAAGTCAACCCCTGCAACAGAGATATATTTCGCTGCATATTTCTGCAAAACATAAGCAGGGATGAGCCCCTAACAAGGGTGGATGGGGGCGCAGGTAATGGCAAGTCAACGGAGGACAAAATGTCCCTGCAAGGTTTAAAAAGTGCTAAGGGAATTCATTTACAAGAGTGGGTAAATAGTAAAAAACTAACAGCTCTGAGGGATCGAGGTGCCGGTGTCAAATTTTGCTACTCTGTCGTGTTACTCTCAAACATGGAAGCATTAGCATATTTCAGTGTGAAGGCTTAACACAAAAATATAGCAGTTTTTCAATCTGAGAAGCTATTCCTTGAAGTTGGAACCACGTGAGCGATACAACCATTAACAACAAACTCACTTAGTTGGTGGATTCGTATTGTGTCAGAGGCCGGGCCCAGCCCTCCTTCACTCAGCGTCTGAATGTGGATGATGTAGTCGTCATCTTCCTCGGGGAGGGTCAGCTCTGCTGTTGAATTGGCTGTAGTGAGGGTGTATACCTCTTTGAGCCTCTGCCTCCTGTATGACAGCTGGATGGGGAGCAAAGTGGGTTGTAAACATTGTAAACATGTCATCTTACAGCCTGGCAGCTTAGTGTGAGCCACCATAGGTACATTTCCCTCAGATGTTTAATAGGAACATGGTAATGTGGAGCATATTCAAAAAAGTGTAACTCACTTGGTAGCCTGTAACTTCTGACTCTGACTCCATTGCCACCACAGGTTCCCAGTAAAGAGACAGCTGAGAGCCGATTAGAGTCCATTCCACATTCAGCGGTGGTAGGGCGGGTGCTGCATGATATCAAAACAAATAATTTACACATCAGCACAGAAACACATTACTGCCACATCAATCTACAATAATTATCCTCTCTTACGGGATGATACTACTTCAAAGGATGACTTTAGAACAGGGGTGTCCAAACTACGACCCGGGGGCCAAATGCAGCCCGCGGACCATTTGGAATCGGCCCTCATCAAATAAAAAAATAAGTATAATGGAATATGGCCCCCAAATGAAACTTGCGGCTGTCTTATATTGTATTTCTTAAATATAAATGTAAAAATATATTACACAGTAGTATTCATGTGTAAATAAGACCACTTTTCAAATAAATTCACTCAATTAAAGTTGGAAACATTTTTTAGTTGATAAGAAAAAAGCCCAATAACTTATTTACATAACAAGCTTGAAATACACCCTTCCTATTTCTCCTTATTATAGTCAATCTGAGGCTCCTGTTTTAAGGGATGATCTGCCAACACTCACAAGCACAATTTACCTACATTTGATTGATTTAGCTAACTTATAACTTATAACTGAACTTATGAGGCAATATACCTCTAGTGAGTCCTTCGTATATTTTTCTCTATGTGGCCTTCGGTGAAAAAAGTTAGGACACCCCTACTTTAGAAGCATATATTTTTATTCTGCCATCTGACATGAATTATAACCTGTTTGGACACAAAATCACCCGAGCAGCAAGGTGTCTTGGGTGCTGCAACTTACGTGGCTTTTTTGTGGTGACATTGATTGCTGGTAGGAAGGGGCCAGTGCCGGCTGTGTTGAAGGCGCTGACTGTGAGGAAATACTGCGTGATTCCTGCCAAGCCGCTAACTGTGACCGAGGTTTGGTTCCAAGGCACCCTGACCTTCCCCATGGTCTCTGGTTTGGTGTCATCTTCCCAGTATGCCACCTGTTTCAGACAGAGAGCGCGTTATCTGGGATTTATTCAACCGTGATATATTGCTTCGGAGTGGAGCAAAATGCCTACATCAGTACTATAAATGTTTTATTACATACAGAACATAAAGTGTTCGTAGTTGTATTTGGTGTCTTGATGAAAATGTGGTGTTAATTCATAATTATTTCCTTAACCTTTCCAGCAGGTTATCTTATCTGAAGTATAAAGCCTTTTTAATTGAACTTTTATAACTACTGTTGTTCACTATGTTCAGATACCACTGAAAGAGTGAACATAGATGTGTTTTGTTTTTATTCATAAACAGATTTGACAGCTATACCATTATCAAAATTACCAATCCAGATTTCTATGTCACTCGACTAATGGATTTATTGTGAAATCATTTTAGCCCTACAATACATTAAGCTGTGCTTGCGTAATGAATTAAATTAAATTGTTGTACTGATCGAATATAAAGTTAATTTACCAATCATAAAATAAGTGAGTCATTTTTTTCTAACATCAAACTGATTATATATATCTTCTTCTTTATATATATATATATATATATATAAAGAAGTTCATCCTCCTACACATCTACCTTTTATGTCTTCATTATATTATCTGAGCTGATGTTTACAGCTCTGAATTGAAATGGCACAGAAGCTCACTTTTGCAGGTGGATATATTAAAACAACTTTAATTTTATTGAGCACAAGAATAACCGCAGCACCTTTTAATAAATCCCTTTGATCCGCCTGATGATTCCGTCAGCACAATCAGGCTGTCCCACTTTTGAAGGTAAGAATAGAAAACAACAGTTTTGGCTTTAATATGTCATAGATTAATATTCCTATTTTATTTAGTGAACAATGAAAGATTTAGGATGAATCCCAAGGTGCTTCTCTGTAAAAACAACAAACAGAGGCGCTTTTCCGGTCTCGTTACACAGTCTTTGGCGTGGTGTGATGGCATTTCTTAGCATTCTGACACCAGGTCTGGTATTGCAGCACATACCATCATGAGGTCTGCATCACGATACACCATAACTGACAGCAGCTTGAAAAGGGATGTGGACAGGCAATTTTATTTTTTGTTCTCTTGAAAACACGACCCGTCGTGTTGGTACAAAGAACTGTATAATTTTTTCTCGCAACTGAAAAAGCCATTTCCATGGTGACGCAGAGTTTGGGAGTGATGGCTTTTTGAGGTACAACAGGGGTGATGACAAGCATTTGAATTGTGTTGTGTGTGTGATTTCTATTTCCATTTAAAAGGGTAAAATGTACCTCATAGCCCAGAACCCTTTCAGGGGTGAAGGAGAGAGCTTGCCAATTCACCTCAATCTCAGAGGCGGAGACACTTCTGGCCCAAACTCCTGCTGGCACTCCGCTCGGCTCTGAAAACAGACGACAGGAGACTGAGCAGTGCTGCCTTTTTCCAACAGAGAGACGGAGAAAAGCAGGATAAATCTCGTTTTATACATTTTTGACAGTGCTGTGTTCTTGTTGACCTCAACTTGGATGAATCATCACACACAGGTGCCGCTGGTAAATAGAACAACAGTGCTCTACACACTGACCTCCTCTCAGCGCGTTGAGAGGTAGCATGGATCTAAATGCCAACCGGTTTTCAATTCACAATAGCCATTCAAAAGAGTGCTGATATTTGTAGGCAATCTGCCTGTCCTTACATAAACGTGTTGCACATTTTCTTTTAGCAAATGTTCTACTGTGTAAAAAGATTTCTACATAATAATTCCCCAGCGTTTCTATTTATCTATCAAGCGCTTTCAGCCCAGTGGGTGCAACAAAACCATTTTTCACAGTCTTTGTCCTTTTCAGAAACAGAGAGAGCTTTGCAAAAAACACCACTGGCGTCCATTCTCTTACCTATCTCTGCAGAGTAGATGGTGACCACGGCGCTGAAGGGACCCTGCCCTTTGCTGTTGTATGTGCCAACCTTGACGTGAAATGGAGAGAAGGGCGCGATGCTCTCGTTGCGGTACACGTAGCGCGAGGCACCGGGGGCCGAGGTGGCCACGTGGGTCCAGCTAACTTCTCCAAAGGCACGGAAAGCAATGATGTAACCAAAGCTCTCACCATTCTGTAGTTCTTCAGGGACAGGCTGAGAGTGAAACACAAAACTATAGTGATATTAAAACATATACAAGCCTCTCACATTCATCCCGCCGCTGGGCTGACACAATCTCCACCCACTCTCATTGTGCCAGAAGAAGAGCATGATCCACAAATTGCTTTCGTGACCCACCTGACGAAATGAAACGAGAAGTAAAATGTCATTTAAAAAAAAATCTAAGCTCATTACAAAACCTCCGTGCAGCTTTTAAAATGAAAAGTTTGTTGCGTATTTAATGAAAAGAGAAAAGGAATATAATGAGATAGCGTTAGACAACTAATGGCTTCTTCAATATCTACATTATTCTATTATTTGAACTGGTTTACCTTATTGCTAGATTTGAGCATTTGCAGATTTGGCTGAGCAGTAATTTACCTAAAATCCAATCTTCATAAATGACAATAACTGTCAGATTAAGTGTTTTGCTTGTGTTTACGTTGTTGCTGCTTTACATGCAGACTCTTTAAATAAGAAATTACAACGCCAGACTTCAATTGACTCGAAATTTATGACACCCGCAAGCCAAACCGAGCAGAGGCTTTGATTTAGCGAGAAATATTAAGCACCTCACTGAAGGATAAAAAAGATTAACTGCAGGCACTTTGAATAACAGACTAGAACATAAGACTGATGACTTACCTCCCATGTGATGACCAGTTCTGACCTGCTCCCACCTCCTCCACCCACGTCACCTGGCGCCGCGTCAGGAACTGCAAACACAGAGCTTCATCACTCACACCTCCGTACGAGAAACACATCAGGCTTGAGAAAGTTTACAAGAAGAGATGGTAGTATAATACTAAGAAAATGTGTCTTATTGCAAATCATAGTTTCTTCCAGATCAGGACAAATGATTCTAGGGGACCAAAGGGATTATTTTCTGTACCTGTGTCCTCTGCCCTAGTCGTGATGACACAGGGCTGGGATAATAGTGTTTTGGGCGACACTTCAGGAAAAATCATAGTTCTTTCTACTGGTAGATTTTGAGTGTTTGGGCCGTTTTACTTGTTTCCTTTCAGACTTTCAGAAAAAAATACTTTTATGATATTTATTTATTTTTATATTTTTGTTTATTTGCGCCTGTATAGTGCCCCTTAATTCACCAAAAGTAAGCAAAGGAAAATGCCTCATTTGAATATCCAAACATAACATTGAAGAAACGTTCCAATACAAAAAATGATAGTCTTTGTTTGATGGTGGATTGCTTAAGATGTTTTTATTATTTACCTGTAGTGTCTTTCAAAATGTATGGAATTTTATAATACAAATCTTTAAAGTTTTTTTTTCTTGTCATACTCATACATAAAAAACTCTTCAGTTTCACTTATTCACCTGTAGTGACTCCCCTTAAGTTAGCAAGTAAAATATCAATCAGTGTACTTAATAGAAATTATGACAATATTTAATTTGACTAAAAAATAACATTAGGTGTTGAGTCTAATATAATTGTTATTTTTATTTAGCCTCAGAGAGAGTCAATGTTTTTCTGCATAATAATGACATACATTTGTAATATCAACTTTTATGTTTTGTCTTTAATTTTGATTAAAAAAATATTGTTTTATTATATTTCCTATGTGTTTTTTATTCATGCTGATATAAGTGGTGTGTTTGTGTTATCAAGATGCATCTGTTTAATTTTCTATCGTTTATGTTTTTTTATTGTTTGCAGTCTAATTTTTTAATTGTATTGAAAAAAAAGAAAAGTCAATTGCTTTGACTGTACCTGCGTCCTCTGTCCTGGTCTTGACCGACACAGGGCTGGGTTCTCCGACCCCAACACTGTTTTTGGCCAAAACACGAAACTCATACTCCACCCAGGCATTAAGGTCCACTACAGTGGCTGTCAGTGTGCTTCCATCGATCATCTCTGGGACTGAAATAAAACAGAAATAATACAGTGTACATAAATATATATAATAATACAAATAATACCAGGAATAATTTTTAAACAAGATAACTAAATCTCTAAAAAACAAAGTATTTCTTTGGGATGAATGGGAGGTCAGCTTCAGTTTTGATTCTAGAATGTCAACACAGTTAGAAATCTTTCTTTCCTTATCTTGTGTTGTTCAGCAAAAGCTTAAAAAAACAACCTTAAACTGACATACAAATACACAAGACTGTATGACCTAATTTGATGACGCTGCAATGTGGTGACTCATTGCACCCAATTACTTAGAATCCATGAAAGGCAGAGGTAATAAAGTAAAGTTGGGTACAGTAATGCCAAATGATTTTCCCAAATGATCGTTGGATAAACTAAATAATGACCTGAAAGATGCCAAAATAAATCTGTAGATTTGCTAGGTTTTACCTTCTAAGCTAACTTTCACTCATGTACAGTTTTCCCTTGTACAATGAAGTGTAATAAACTGGTAAAATGAAAGCTTGTGTCTCCAGACTCTTCAAATAAATGCTTTCCCCTCTCCATTGGAACAAAAGTCGTATGTCTTCCACAGAGACTTTACTTCACTTAAGCAGATGAAAAGGGTTTTGTCAGGTGTAAAGGTCCTTTCAGTGGTTTAAATGAGATCATGTAAAAGCAGCAGCGATGACCTCTAGTTCTCTCGAGTAAGACCCTGAATCCCTCCCTTCTCCAGAGCCTTCGTTCTGCAGCTGACCCTACGCTTTGACCTCCCAGCTGAAGCCGGAAGAGAAGTCAGAGTATTTCCCTGCGGGGATCTATGAATTATCTGAGCAACATTACATGTGGTATGAGAGGACATTTCATCTTCAAGTGCCGCCTACCTGTGTTAACCCTTTGCCATCCCAGGGTGAAGGGAGTCCTGGTCTGGATGAGGTAATTGGTGATGGGGCTGCCGTTGTCTCTGCCGGGACTCCAGGCCAGCTGGGCTGTACTGTCTGTCACCTCCACCACCGTCACCGAGTCTGGGGGGGTGGGGGAGCCTGGCCCAATAACAGAAAAGACACTGTGAGGTACTCGCACACGCACACCAGACGGCAGAATGTGGATGCTACACCACACATACTACAAGCAAAACATGAACTGCAATCTCATTTGCATAAGAAACACCTCTATATATAGAGCAACAACTGATTACTATTCATTTGTATCTTGGAATACGCATTAGAGAGAGAAAAACATATCTAAAAAGCTTTAAGTTTGAGAACGTATGCCCTTTACAAAGATATGAGAAGCTAATTCAGGATTTGTTTCCTTTAGTATTCAACATACTTGTAATCTTTCCCTTTCATGGTCTTCCCGGTAATTGATCGATAAAAGAGCAGACGCAAGTAGATGCAGGGAGTCAAATTAAAAGGTAAAAGATGAAAAGGAGCCTCATAGACATAAAGAACTAGAGTTTTATCATTTATTTTCATTATCCCACCAATTAAGCAGTGTGATGTTTTAGTTTGGCTTCATCTACTGTTTCCTGTTCTAATGAACGTGTCTGCTCATCAGAAATAATGGACCACTAGAGAGCTGTGAGACAGACCGCAGAATAATAACTCGCCCAGCTCTGCTCACACTGCCCCTGTACTAGTTCATAATGTGAAGCAAAAATATTCTAATTATTAAGGCGTTTAATGATTATTTTAACAAACAATCAATAGTTCATGCAGCAGGGCTGTGATACGTAATACATGCATCTATGCAAAACAAGGAACTGCTGAACTACATTTTTTTGTTTACAGAAGCATTGAGCGTGATGCCCACATACAGTACATTTGGCCTTAAAGCCATGGCTTTAGTGATATTGATCTTTGTAAAACTCATTAGCAGCTCCTGATTAAAAAAAAACCTTTAATACACTGGCTTCAGTAATACATATTAAGGAGCACACAATCAGGGATCAATTCCTTATCCTCTTAATTATATTTCATTGGCTGAGGCAAGAGGGTGCTGTCATTGTCTTTAGGGTGTTCAAATGATCTGTTATTAATATGGACACACTGTCCGGGCTTTTGTCGTGAACTTGGCACGGGGCAAATCATTATCTGGCGGTATTATGAATACTTACAGAAATGTTGATATCATTTTGATCTGATTTAAATATTTCCCAAATGTGTAATATAAAGAGTTGCACATGTCAGAATTGAATATAAATAATCATTTGTTTTATAAATAATTAAATAATAATGATAAATCACATTGTGTTGCCCTGACTGTTGTATATTAGGTGTGTATTTCTATGTAATGTCTTCCAGGACGATGATGATAATGCAACTGTCAAACAAGCTCAAGTGCTCACCAAGTGGTTTGAATGCTAATGGCCATGATGTATTCGGTATAACATGACCTTCTCCATAACCACCACCACCCGGTGAAGTGTTTGCCAGGCATCATGGAGAGGGATCTAAAACATTTTCCTCTGTCATTGTGGAAAACAAGAACCCAGATGATCACTCGAGAATCTTTGTGTCGGGAGCGATTATCATTGACCTTCACTGCTGCGAGAGGAGTGAAGCGAGACAGGAGACAGCATTCAAAATCACTGAGATACTGTCACCAGCTAATATTATGTGATTGTAATATATGTTTCCATTGCCAATAACACCAATAATACACATTACTAAGTATAATCATTAAAGTTAATAGCTGTTGCTGTGATTCACACAACTACCAGCGCAATGACACTGGCACAATTATTATCACAGTTAAATGAGTGATGCTTTATTCAAAGTGTTGTCTTTACATTAAAATAGCATTTCTTTGAGCACACGCAAATGCAGACACTTTCCTACACTCTCACAGTATATATAGCCAAGAAGACAAGGTTTTATTTGTCAAGCCTTGAGCTATCCATCTCTGTGAATTTATTATTTAATGTGTTTCTCCCAGCTTTTAAAAATTACAATTTAAAAGAATCAAAGCAACATCTCCTGATGTAGCATCCCCATTGCTTGAGATAATATATACAACACAGGACCATTTTCTGGTCGAAAGTAGTTCAAATAAATACAGCATCTTCCCTTTTAATTATCCAGACTCCGACAGCGACACGTTGAAAATAATGTGTTACTAAATATGTTTACTCAATAAATGTATTTAATAAAAAAAGTTTGCAGTAGCACCAAAAGAGTGACTCAAATGGTTCCACTTAAACAATCTATTTGATCCAAAAACAGTCACATTGTCCAATTCAAATAAAAAATAAAAAAGATCTATGTAGACCATTTTTTGTCGTCTATTCCATCACATTAATAATTTCACAACCCCTTAGATTAGACTCTTTGAAGAGGACAGACCCACAGGTTGGGAACCACTGCACGGTGCTACCTAAAAGTTAATTGAAGTAGTTACAACTAAATACATAGCACCACGATGAATCAGAATGTAAAAAAAAAGTCTAATAATTCACAAAATAATGAATATTTTGCCGCTGATGGGAAGTTACCTAATTTAACTTACGTAGAACATTGTATGGAGGATTTTTACAGGCAATAAAGTATTATTTTATTGTTGCATTCATACTTTTACATAGGTAGTATGTGACTAGATGACCACAGATTGTATCTTTGGTATGCTTAATATGGTATTTTGAATATAATTAGAAATAATGTGTCTTTTATTTTTGATGGGTACAAAGGTAGTGGGGGTCTCCCAACAGGACACTGGACATGTGATCACTGTCAGTTTGTTAGTGGTGTTCAGCTGTGATCAAGCGAATCCATTCTCTGCCCCCCATGACTGGTTTTCTATCCGGCTTCATGCTTTGTCGCCCAACATTTGGAGCTGTTCGATCCGAGCAATGAGACATCCATGACAGCTGCCGTGAGCAGGAAGTGTAAATAATGCACAATCTGAATCACAGACAAGTTTCTCTCCAGTCAATACTGGGCCAATCCATTTCCAGGGCCTTGATATTGCTTCTGCTTGAAAAACAGACTTTTTTCAGCTTAGTCCTCAGCCAATTGGACAGGAGTGCTTATTAATGCCATTTGCTTAGAAGATCTTTAACACCGAGTCATTGGTGGGTATCTTTAGAAGATAAAGATATGGATTCAACCGTTTCAAATTTCGACACCAATATCATTGCTCACCTCATCTGACATTCAACATATCTGCGTAGTGTCAATTTGCTGGGCTATTTGACATATTGATCGAAGCCAGAAACATCCCTCCTCTCACTCAAGCAACACAAATCTGCCTCTCCCCGAAAACACAAAACAAAGGTTGTTCTATTTTGTTCTGCCCAATGTAGCTCTTGACAATCGTGTCTCTCCGGAGCACTACATATTGCATGAGTGAGCACAGACAGGCATCTAAACATTGTACTGTCAAGTACATTGCAACAATATTGAAAATTGGTCATTAAAAAGAGAGAGAGAGAGAACATTTTCACAGTTTCTTCAAATTCTCTGCTCCCACAAATACCCCTGAAAGCAATATAAAAGAAAAGCAAGCCTCCTCTATTTGATGTAATCAAGCAATTGCTACCAGGAATAATCAGGACATAAAAACTGTGGATTCTGTGATGACATCCAGAATCATTTTCATGAGGATATGGGCATTTTGGTTGCACTGCAATCACTGGCTGAGACACAAACCATTTGAGTTTAAAACCCTAAGTGAACCTTATACGCCCTGGCAGTCGAGCAGTCTTTATATTCTCAGTATATTCATATAATGTCTCCAAAATATGTATTTCCTTTTATTTTTTGCAACACAGGTTTTATTTGGTTATCCTTACAGAGTGCAGACATATTTTTATTGTCGGCTGTTGGCTACATCTATCAGCCACTTTACGGCTATTATATGTCCAAGTGTCCTTGAGCGAGACACTGAACCCTAAGTTGCTCCCGAAGGACAGGCCAGCCTCGCTTTGCAGCTCCAGTGTGTGTGTGTGTGTGTGTGTGTGTGTGTGTGTGTGTGTGTGTGTGTGTGTGTGTGTGTGTGTGTGTGTGTGTCAATGGGTGTACAAGAGGCAAATTGGAAAGCGTTTTCTCCGTTAAGGTAGAAAAGCACTATATAAGTGCAGTCCATTTACTGTCCACCCTTTACAGTTAAGTGTAGAGTTTTTATTTCCACTTCTTTTTAAAAGAAGAACTAAAAACAACCCTGGCTATAAGCCCCGCTTTAATTAGTAACTGCAGAGCAGAGAAGAGGTTTTCTTACCTTTGACAATCAATACAGCCACGGCTGACAGGCTCTCCACGTCCGTGTCCACCACACAGATATATTTTCCGGCATGGTAAAGCTGAATGTTCCTGATCATCAGATCCCCTGCTGTTCTCTACATGGGGGGAGAGAAAGCTTTATGTAGCATGAAAGATAACAGACCCTGTGACAGCTTATTAAAGAATGCAGCGAGGCATATATAAGGTGCAGTAAATAGCTGAGCGTTTGCACATCTTTCAGTTATTTAACTTTGCAGAAAAGCCTGTTTTTAAAGATATTTAACACCGAAGATATTTTTAGACATACTACGCGTCTCGACACTTCTTCAAGTCGCAGACATAAAGGCGAGCATTATGAAAATATCCTGAATATGAAAGAACCTTTTAGTCGCACATTTCAGTCCAAGATGAATCCCGATAAAAAGCATCTTGGCCAAAAATCACAGAAGTTGTATGCTGCAAATGGAACTTCTGTGTCTGAAAAGGCTTTTGCTATTTCTTCTCGCTTGTTGCAGAGGTCATCATCATCGCCTTCAAGACCTGCTGCAAGAAACTACACAACTAAGCTAATACGTTTGAATTCAGCCAGTTTTGGATCGATTGGAGAGGAAAAAAAGGCCCTCTAGATTCTCATCTGAGAGGACACCCCTAAGCAGCAAACGGTAAATTAGTGGTGAAATCGTTCTCTTGGTATTGACAGGCAAATGTGGCAGTAGAGCCAACGTGGTTTAATTATGGAAATTAAATTCCTTGAAGCAGCAAAGTTAAGTTGATAATCTCTTTGGACTGGGGACATTCTAGCATTTCTGGGGGAGTCTCTTTACAGATAAGAACATTGTCAGTCAAACACACACAAGGAAGAATGGTTAATCTCTAAAGGTCTGAGGGTGTTATGAAAATGTTTTGTCATTTGGGGCTCAGCCAAGACACCTCTTATAATATGTATTCCCTTTCTGTTATGGAGCAGCAAGCTATGTCAAAAAAGGATTTGAAAAGAATTGAATAGCAACCAAACTATTGAAAATAGATTACTTCAGAAGGGTAAGCTCATGTAAGGGAAGTGTACTTAAAAAGAAGAGGACAACCTGTCACAGTGGCTGAGCAACTAAGGCATAACTATATGATGTTTCATGTGTATTCTGACATAGCATGGTTCTATTCACAAACGTACTATTGGAAGCTGAGAGGGGCTGAATGGTTTAATAGAGCTTCCTTTTTAAACATCTTCACATTCCCACAGCCTGTAATGCCTCCAAGGAGACTCTTTAAAATTGCAAAAAAGGATGGTATCACACCCATTGCAGCAAAACTAACCACAGCAAATCTCTCCAAGAAATACCAGGGTGTCAAACCACATGCTGTCTCTTTTAACTAATGGCAGGGATGAAGTGAAGCAAGATGGTGAGAGGTGCCAACTGCCCATTCGCACGTTTTGAAGAAGTATGACTGCGGGGTCACTCACCCCACCCACTAGCTCAAAGTGACCGTCTCCCTTGGCGATCAGCTGTCCGTTGAAGGCCCAGGAGAAAGAAACGTCAAGGACGGGGTCACTGGAGACTTGACAGGGTAACACGATACTCTCGCCCACTATGATCTCCATGTCCACGGGCCCCTGGGTGATTCTGGTTGGATCTGCCCGAAAAAAATGAAAAATTGAGAGAGAGTCATTTCTCACAGGGTGGCTGCCAATCTAACACAGATCATAAGATATTCATTGCGACATGAAACGAGATGAGCAGTGTATTGTTGATTTTCTGCAGTAGAAGTTCAACCAGATATGGCAAAAGTACAACCATCCTTTACTCAAGTAGAAGTACAGATACTCGTGTTTAAAAATACTCTGGTAAAAGTAGAAGTACTGACTAAACTTCTTTACTCAAGTAAAAGTAAAGAAGTATGGGCTTCGAAATGTAATTAAGTACCCATAACTACCATCTGTTTTATAAAGTAACTGACCTCACTTTATATTAATAGAACAATAATGTCATTGTTAGCTAATGAATGTTTCGATGCTGAACAATGGCAAAATGACAAAGTTTTCATTAATAATGATCACGCCACCAAACACAGATTAAATCTAAAGTAATGTGCCTGTTTTGAAAATAAAAGAAGTTTAAAGTTCAGGTATTTTTGTTAAAAATGTAAGAAGTAAAGTAAAAGTCGTCAGAAAAATAAGCAGTGGAGTAAAGTACTGATACCAGAAAAATGTACTTAAGTACAGCAACAAAGTATTTGTACTCCACTACTTCCCACCTCTGGTTTCAACAGTGAGGCTACATGCGCTATAATACACTTAGTCACAGGCAGGGAATTATCTATATAAAGCAAGGTCTCATCAAAGTCTTAAGTGGAATAATGTGATAATACCAGCCTGCCACTACTAAAATGGCCTAATACTCCAAGCTGACACCGCTTGAATAATCTCCTGAAATCCTGATAGCAATTACAATACAGTGCGGATCAGATAAAATTTCATGTAATGGGCTGCTCTGTGCATCCAGAACATAAATGAAGGGGCGTTGCTTCAAAGTCTACAAAAGCAATGATTGGACCAAGTCTGTCGTGCTTCAAAATCAAGATAATGAATCTGCTAGAATCAAATAAAGAAGGTGCAGCACAAAGCAAGAGGATTTTCACTCTTACATCTTACCTTATAGAGTAGAATCTCGAGGGGTAAGGAAATTAGATGTAAAAATGTCCCCTTAGTTCTTAAGCTAGTAATAATCAATGTCTGGGTCGTGGCTCTGTGCCGCTGACTGCATTATGGCCTTGAAAAATACCCCCCCAACTGGCAGTTACAGTGGCAGACAATAGCGTTCAGCACATTAATAAAACCAATAAGAGAACACTTTACTAACACTCCACTGGAAGCACACGCTCGACAACAACAGCATCTGTAACACCTCCTCACTAACGCTTTCATTGCCTCCACTCAGGGCACTTTCATTTGTTGCAGTAAATTGGCTGTTTCAACTGCTTTGAAGAAAACAATGATAGAGTATTTTTTCAAACACCTTCCAAGTGCGTTATTGCAGCCGCACTTAACAACTCAATGGAATTAAACTGAAAGACAAAAAGGTTTTTTTTTAAGTTGAAGTCGAGTTTGAGTAACCATTACACCCCTTCAAATCAATAAATAAACAAAAATGACATTTAAAATAATATAACAAAATGATTTCAGGATTTAATTTAATTTTGTAAAGTCCTTGAAGGATAGACAGCTCCTAAAGTTTCTGACTCGCTCCTCAGAGGAAAACCTGAAGTTTCTTTATGTTTCCACCCACCAGTTATCGACTCTTTGCGCCACAGTAACTCTCCCTTGCGTTAATCCATACTGAGATAAATTCTGCTAACTAAGTGGGATGCATAAACATTCTGCTATGTCACAGTGGAGCTTACCGGTAACGAGGAGCCGTCCTGTTGTACTTGACATGCCAAATCTATTCCTTGCGAAGCACGTATAGCTGCCTGCATCAGACTTGCTCACGTTGGCAAGCCTCAATGTTCCATCTGGGGAGAGTGTGATCCTAAAGCAAACAGAGACACCCGTTTGCAATCCAACTTCAGAGAACAAAAGATAATATTGTCATTAGATAAACTCTAATTCTGGATTTGTCTCAGTGTTCTTCATTATCATAGGCAACGAGAAGCAGTGTAAGTGAAGGGGGATATTGATCGTTTGGACTTAACAAGGTAGAAAACATACGATGGGAAATACTGAATTGCCTTTAATTGTACATTCCTATCACAGCCATCGGTCCTCTGGCTTAATTAAAGCAGGTTCAGTTCAGTCATTACCTGTCGTTGGTGTGGATAGGGAGGTTTCCTTTCTTCCATAAGATGCTGGCGATGGGATAGGCCTGGGGTTTACACTCTAAAGTCACTGTGGTTCCTGCCTTGGCTTTGAGCAAAGCTCTGAGGACGTTTCCTGTGAAGTCTGGCGGAGAGGCTGATGGGAAACAGTAAACTGACTTTAGTACAAGCCTGCAGAAAATCTCACAGGGCATTTGAAGCACGCCTCTGTTTGATCTGGGAAAATCATCAAATTGGAAAGTAATGGAGACAGACATTTGAAACATTTGTGATGGGAGAAAATAAATATATAATCCAATCACTCCTGGTGATTTTTGTTCCATTTTCTATAAAGAACATGGATTTACAGGGACCAACAATGTTGCATCTTTAATTGGTTTTACTCATAAAGATCATTTTTGTCGTTCATTTTGAATCAACTACCCCATCCTCACCTTAACTTCAAAGTAAATCAGGATATCATGAAGGGGAAAATATTTTTTAAATGTGTTTGGCCCCATCAAACCCTCCTCGCTGACCCCATTATCCACTAATCCAGACAACCTTTAAGAATGACAGTAAGATGACCTTTAAGATTCTTCGGCAACAATGATTGGAGGATTTAAAGGAGAGATAAATGCCACCGTACCTAAAACCATTAGTTCAGCAGAGAAATATATGACACCATGTTTATTCTCAGCCACACACTGGTACATGCCGGCATCAGAGAGTGTCAGCGCGGACACTGACAGGACTCCGTCCTCCACATGGATTCTGTCCTGTGAAGAAAAGGATGAAAGAAAGCAATTATTGCTTAAGACTTGAAGGTAGGTTTTTGCTTTGCTCAGCGCGCTCTGGCAAAGCTCAATAAGAATTGGATTGGGTTAGAGGCAATGTCAATGGGCGAAGATCAAATCAGGATTATGTTGCCGTGAATGCATCAGAGTCAGTGCACAAACAACATATTTTTTTTCAAATATTCTCACTATCATGTTAACCAGTATTCAGCTTGTAATAATATCCTGTAGTGAAAAATTTGTTTGCAAAATGTGTGTATGTGTGGCTAAATTCAGCATCCTGTTATAAATATATGTCTTTATTTTATTTCTGATGAATGATTAAGCCAGGATATATCTTATTGAGGTGAAACAGGTAAAGGTTTTTCATTAAAACCCTTACTGTATGTAACTCAATCCATGCAACTACACACATTATGGTCTAATCGTATATTGTTTCTGTTTAGCGTGTGAAGATTAAGCTCTCTCTTTGAATTAAAGATTATACATTTACACAAAAGTATGCTTACATTGTGTCTGAAACTGATATCATGAAAAGTAAACAATACTGCCTTTTAGTTAAACAATCACGTTTTTGATCTTGCAACAGTACATATATTGTTAAAATCAAATCATAGAATGACATTTAAAAAAAGCTTTTTGCTGTTGTTATAGAAGCAGGTGCTCGCATTGAGCATTACCAAATGCTGCTGAGAAGATAAAGCAACAGCAGCATATTGAAGTCAAGTCAAGTTGAAAGCTATGTATGTCCCTGGTGGTCCTGGGTAAGGTGTGCAGCCGTATAGCATATTTCACAGTAGATTAAACCCATTGTCCCTAAATCTGGAGGAGCTAAAACATGCACCATGAATAATGAAAACAACCACGACTCCATTCAGATGAAATGGAGCAATCTCGGAGGGACTACACTGATCCACTCTCTAAGACTGTGTAATCTGCCAAGGTAGAGCGGAATAAGAGACAGTTACATCCATGTCTCATCACTGGCACACCTCAGCAAGACGTTTACACTCGCCTCTCATCGCACTCTGCTTGACGCCAGGCTCTCTAAAATAAAAGGATGCGCTGAAGATGAGGATTAAGTCTTTAAAAATAAAACATTGGTAGGTGGCAGAAGACGGGCAGTAATTTACCTCAGAGAGAAGCTGTTGGCCGTTCTTCAGCCACGTGTAGGCGGGCTTGGGCTTGCCATTGGCTCGGCAGTCCCAGTAAAGTCTCTCCTCTATGGCCAGGGCCGTGTCCTTCGTGGCCTGGATCCACTGAGGCTTGGCTTAGGGAACACAAATATGAACCAGTGAAATTACTTAAGGAGCATAATATCTCTGGGGTTTCAGCAGGTTTGAAGATAAATTGAAGACTTTTTAAGACCTTCTTAAGTTACATATTTAAATTATTGAGACATTTTTATTTTGCAGTTATACTGGTAGAAGAAGGAACATTTGCATTAAAAAAAACTTTAGGAATCGGCATTTATTGATCTGATCCATGTCTGCTTGAGTTTGCACTTCCCCATCGCGCAAAATAAATCATAATTGAATGTAACTCTAAAGCGAGCCAAATCTAAATCCTAAAATCTTAAGAAGCTGGTATGATATCAAAAACCAAAAGTAAATAAACCTCTTTAATATTTGAAATGGTAGAGCATTTATTTTAGGACCAATACAATTGTTCTTAAGCAAACCTGTTTAGGCCTACATTTTGAAAATTGAATTTGAGAAAATAGTTCAAAGGAAAGCATGAATAGAGTGACAGCTCCAATAAGTTAGAAAATAGACTTGTCTTTACAGGGGAGAGAGGAGTGAATCTAGGGTTTCACTCCGCTTCATCACTTAAATGTGTCAGCTGCCTGCGGCAAGTCAAGATTAGCATGAAACGCCACGCCACAAAGCAGGAAGCTGTCATGAACAACTACCTTAATTCTGTGTTTAATAAACATCGCCCTGGGTCTGTTCCCACATCCAGCACACAACTTTCTAGCTTCTTTTCTCTTACACATTTACAACTTTACAGAATGTGTAGCAGGTAGAGTGTTGTGCTCATAACAATCGGCACAGCTGACTTTACATGCATTTGCACTCAAAAGTGTCATTCTTCCTCTTTAAAAAAGGAACAGCAGTTGAGGTAAGTCAAGATGCCAAAAATTTAACTGCAGTAAAATTAACACTAACCGCGTGGAAAGAAAGAAAATTACTTGTTAAAGCTGTAAATAACAATAGGCTGTCAACATATCGATCGTATTACCAAATAACAACTCTTTTGACACTGACAGCAGCAGTATTTATTACATTGAGAATATGACAGATGGAACATAGCGAAGAACTCACACATTATAACTTAATCGGTACAATGTTTTTTGTTGTCATAGCAAGTAAAAGAAAATATGTCTTACCATAGAAGGCCAGCCGACCGGTGGCTATGTTCTTGCCCATCTTGTTCTCAGCTACACACTCGTATCCTCCCGTATCATCCTGCTGGAAGCTGGGTATCTCCAGCACAGCATTAGAGTACTTCATTTTGACTTTGCTTGGGAAGGGAACGCCGTTAGCTCTCTTCCAGGTGATTTCTGGGACAGGGCTGAAAGACGCAGAGGAATTAAACCTCAGCGGAGATCCCGATTCAAGTCCGTTTGAACTTTTAAGATTGCAGCTCAGGTTGCAGGTCTCTGTAATCCTGCGATAAAGTGTTTGATGAAGCTTTAAAGCCACTGTATTTTTTTTTGCCGTAGAATGGTTTAGAGTTACCCTGATCTGACAACAAATAATGCAGTCTCACATGGCTTGCAGACCAATCATGGCTTGATGCCACACTCTAAAAAATATAATTGCCAAAGCAACTTTACTTTACAGAAATCCAGATGTCTGGAATGAAAGACAGCGGAAGATTGAAAACATGCTTGAAGCAATCCAGCTTACTTCCCAAGGGCGAAACATTCCAGCGTAATTGTTGATCCTTTTGCTGCGGGTACATTGTCTGGGAAATTAACTTCTATTTTCGGCTCGTATTCGCCCATCACTCCTATGAAGAGCAAGCACAAGAACTTGCTCAGTCTTCCATTATTCATGACTTACAAGCAATATTGTTTGCATTATGGACCAAACAATCGCACTGTAAAACTAACAGAGGAGAAATAAAAGACACATGAGCAAACATTCTAGTAGTACATCACTTAAATGTCGCCAGAGCGCCTTGAAACACCAGCAAGGAATAATTTAAATATCTTCTTGGTGGAATAGATAGAGTAGAATTTGAAATCTTGTCTTTTGTGCTAGTCTGGCTGTTAGTCTATTGTTTCAAAGCTTGAGTGGGCAGCTCCCAACCCCTTGTGTTTTATTGTTTGTAACAGTATTTAAGACAGTCAAGGCTAGGATCATAAAACGATGCGATGAGATTTAAATGTATGCAGCCACATGTACAGTACACTGAGTGGAAACTAACTGGTTGAGCCACCAGAACACTCAATGTAATGTTCCAGTGACGTATGGCTTATGTTTTATTCATCGGAAGGCAATCTTTATTCACTCTTTCTATGAAGCCGTGACAGAGAATAGAACAACAGACCAAAGAGAACCGCGCTGGAGAGTTCATGTGAAAGCACAGAGAAAAGCTTTTAAAGGCAATGCGAAATTATAAGAGAGCTAAGTCAGCAACGAGGAGATTTGGGTGCTTTGTTTGCTGGCCTACATGGAGGAGCAACTATTTACTTACAAGCATTAGCGCTCGGTGACTCAACGACAGCGAGGCACGACACGACAAAGAGCACTCATGCAAGTGCGATGATTAAAGCTACCTTCAAAGGAAAGGTCCCTAATACATGGCTGTGAGGCACACTTGTCACATCGCGGCCTTGAGCTGGGCTTCTTACCATCTGTCCTGAGGATCAGAGATGTAGGTGAGCTCTGAATCTTGCCCTTTGTGATGCTGTTCATCACCACACAAGTGTAGTTGCCCACGTCTGAGGGGTCAACCTTGGCGATGTAAAGATTTCCCGTCTGCTGGGAGACGAAACGCCGATTGTCTTGTTGAACAAAGTAAGGGTACTCATTGAAGACCCATGCATACGTAAGGTCTGGAAGAAAAAGAGATTTTTAAATGTGATGGTAAAAAAGGTGAATTAATGCTGGCAATGGTATACTTTATTCTACAAGCCACTTCAACTTTAAACAACTGCACAGTTTGAAGCCAGGATGAAGGTTTACCTCCTGAGGAAGTGGACGTTCCACAAAGTAACACCACTCCTTGTCCCTCACGGACTGACACTGCGCTTCTGGTGTGGACTTTGAAATGATCTAAGTCTGAGGGAAACAAAAATGAAAAGGAAGATCACCGCAGGAGCTCACATGTATCGGAGTGCTTACAGCAATACTCTCACACAAGCACATAAAGATATTGTCTGGAGAATTCCACTTCAGTGAATGAAACAGGTTCAGACTGAGAAGAGGCTTTTAGGTATAAGCACAAGTGCAGGGAGATATAACATATTGCTATCCTTTTTTTCGTACACCAATTGACAATAATGTCAAAGCGCTTGTGTTTAAGTGTCTTGTTATAGTAGTTCAGGGGGAAAAACGACAACATACAATATATACAGTAGCAACCACAAGGACACAAAACCAACAGTTTGGTCATATTTCACATATTGCAGTAAACATAATACCATTAACCTTCAGGTCTTAATAAGAAATAAGAACAATAACTACCGTAGGTTAAACAACCAACTATTCAGTCTTGCCCCTGGTAATGGCTTAGAAATAAACTGAAAACCACAAAAAACAGTATTATAACACATGTTATCCATTGGAAATAGTGAAATGATGAGCATCACAAATGAGTCAAGTTTTTCCACTAACCCCTGGTAGTATTAGGCAATGAAGATATCTTCTGGTCACTCTATATAAGCCACAAACCTCTCTTCAATCAGTTTCAAAGTTTTCATTTGGGCTATTTACAGATTTCATAACAAAAAAATCCTATCAGCAAGGTGTTATATAGTGTAACAAAGACATTATTTCTGCACAATGGGTTGTTGAGTTTGTTATGTCATTATGTCTCAGCAGTGCATGTCTAAAAGCTTGAAATACAACCAAAGATATCGGCAAGGCCAGACACAGAAGGTGTGAAAAGATACTTTCTTGTTATCTGCAACAATTGAAGTACAATGAATAGTACATTAACAGTAAGTACTTATTTCTTTACTCATTTCAGATGTTTGCTGCTTTCACCACCACGTGTATGTAATGTGAGGGATATCACAGTTTGTCTTATTTGTATGGCAATGCAATTGTACTAAAAATGTTTGTACTGTTAGTTTTATTAATTTCCATTACTCAAACCCGACATATTATGTTGGAGTCAACATTAACACAGCATTGAGTCCTTATTGAGGTATTTGTCATACCCAACACAATTTGGTTGACTTATTTTCCCCCCAGAGTACATGACATAAAACACCAATGACATTTCTGATAAAGCTAAGCAAGGTGAAATGAAGTATTCATTCTTAGTTAGCAAGAACGAACATAAGTAAAGAATAGACGTCACGCTAAAACTGCCCCCATGCCACTTCAGCATTTAACATTGCCTCAGAGTTGTAGCACTCATAAATATTACAAGCGTCGCCCACCTAGTTTGGTGTGCGTCGGCATTATTTTTTCTAAGTGCGGTTACACCACCATCCCATTTCTTAATAAAAAGTGACGTGAACTTACAGGCAAACTGCAGACTGGCTCTCCTGCTGAGAATTGCTCCTACAGTGTTGAACGCCATGCACTGGTACATTCCTACATCCTGGTAGCGGTCCAGACTGCTTATAATGAGGTTGCCCCCAGACAGACGCCGCCGGCGATCCAGGCCCAGATTTATGAGAGTCCCATTCAATGACCATCTGTGAGGGCAAAGACACCATCAGTCCCTGGCAAAAAAGCCTCGTCCATTTCTTTTCTACCAACCAAGGTGGTCTGACAGGAGGTGAGTGGGGAACACAACTCACTGTAGTAACTCACTTGAAGTAAGAATAATACACTGAACATTTGTGCTGGTGTGGAGGAAGTCACAGGCTTGCAGGTTGAAGCATGAACAGCATGGACTTGTGTGATTTTTAGCCATTTATTATTATCCTGCTGGAATTTAACTTTCCTAACAAAGTTTCCTAAGTCATAAAGTAACTCCGAAAAGACTAAATATACTGAGAAGCATTTTGAATTCCCTCTGTTGTTTTTCTTGTTTTCTTCACAGTCCTAAATTATTGTCAATTTAGATTTGGATTAACTGAATAGTTTTCACTATCCTATTCTGCACATGTTCGATGATTGTTGCATATGGTTTTGTCCCTGTAATCGAATAATTCTCTTATCCATTATTCTACAACATGCTCCAGTGTTTTTGGTTTATATTACACTTAAATTGCACATTCATTATTTATATTGTATTTTCTGTTCCTATTCTATTTTTCTTTATTTTGCTCTACCACTATTTGCTGCTGCAGCGATCTCATTTCCCCCCGCAGGGATCATTAAAGTTTAATCTTAGACTATCATACACAAAGCTGTCTTCTGCTATTTAAGGGAAGCAGAAGATAAAGGTTTTAGAAGCCATCATAGATATTATCATCAGTCTTACCCATAATAACCTCATCTCTGTCACATTATATTTACATAATGTGACATTATTCCACCTTTGACTTCTCATTAGGACAACACATTAGCACTTGGCAGGGGCTGATGTAACAAAGGATGCCTTTTAAACTCTTTTTCACCTTCCATTACATCTATTGCGCCTGCTAAGTGTTGAAGTTTGAAAAGATAATACCTTGCGCAGCAGGATCAGATTGTGCTATTAAATAAATGAATCACCTAAAATATGTAATAATGAAATTAGTTTAATGGATGTAAAGAAGCCCCAATATTCAGTTAGAAAATACATTCTCTTCTTCTTGTCACCACAACACTTCTCTTTTTAAATGCTAGTGAAACACGGAGCTGTGATGGGTTGAAGGACAGAGCCCTTTTCAAGAATTTACCATCATATTTCTCAAAGCATATAAAAGAACAATTTCTCTCCTTCAGCCCCAATCCTTTATTCTACTTCTCGTAAGTGATGAAAGAAAAAATGAAAGACAGGGAGGCCATAATGGCAAACTTTCCAAAAGCTTTCAAGTATAACCTCCAAAATAATTTCTTACAGAATACCCAAACCATTGAACGCCGACGAGTGCTTGCCGCCTTCCTCTAGACACTTAGACTTATTTTATTTCTGTATGTATAGTGGTTGACTTTACTTCTTAGAGCTGAACAGTGTGAACTTCTGTACAATGAACACCTAACGGTTCACTCTGTTATTAAAACATGCATGTGTGTGTTCAGGGTCTGTGACCACACAGCTGCATTTAGCTCCATCACCTCTTTTTGACCTAAAGTGCCTCAGTGGTGGCCTGAACATTGGGCAGGTGATTGAATATCAACCCCAAAACTGAGTTACTCAGCTTGAGACTCATTTTGTGAACACATGTTGTCTGACCATCTGACCACAGAGAAACTGGATATCCTGGATCAAACTGCAGCTCAGAGCCACAGGCGTTATACCTCAGGTCAAGTAAAGGTAAAGCAAGTCACCCTCTGCATCACTTTTATGACTGGCTGGGGAGAATATGCTTTTTCAAACTAGTTGTGGCTTTCTCCCATGAGCAATAATGCCACTTCAGTGTACTCACCTCTTTTTGAGTGACAGGTCTGGCAGAGGAAAGGGGAAGGGAGAACAGAGAGGAGAGGGGAGGGAGCCTATTTACACTTCAAGAGAAGAGCCACAGAGGTGCGGAGGGCTTGCAGAGCCGGGCACAGCCAGCTTGACAAGGCACCGCATTACAACATGCTCATCTCACCTTTAATCAGTACATGGAAATACCTGGTCTTAGGCGAAGAATGTGAAAAGCCTGAAATAATGAGCATACGCACTCCACACTGCTATCATTCATCTCGCCTGTGCCGGCTGTGCCGCAGTAATTCTATTGTTCAACGCCAAAGACACTTGTAATCAATGTCTGTTGGTGCCACATGGTGTCTAGCAACGTGCATCGGCCTCACAGCGTTTTAAAAGAGGAGCTTTAAGATGCATTAAGATGCTACACGTGTGTCGCTAAGATAATATCTGGCGAGACAAGAGGAAGATTGGCAGCGTGTTAGTCAATATGAATGAGTGAAGCCATAATGACGCCCCTGCTTTGAGTGTCTGTAAGCGTTTCAGTTTAATTTAGAGAAAATGAAAAGGGGAGCAAGGACGTGCTTATGCCATGTGAAGAATGTTCTTTTAAATCCTTATCTTCATTACTGTGAATGAATTGAGCAGCAAGGCTGACAGTAGTATAAATAATATATATGTACTGTATGTGTAACTTTACGGTTTCAAGCTGATTTAATGTCCCCACGAAGACAAAGGTTATGTTTACTTTATATTAAACAAGGTCCTCTTATGACATTGACAGCTGCTATGAAAACGCTTTCAGGGACGAAGTTCAAGAGAAGAATAGCTGCTGATTCTGCACTTGACTTCCTTTAGGTTCATACAAGGAAAGCAATAACTGATGATGGTCATTTCTGATAATACTATAACGTTCTTCTGCTGCTATTTATATTTCTATAACAAATTTGCGATTGTTGATTTTCACAATGCGTAATAGTTTAAGTAAAGATAAATTGAACACCTCATATGACGTGCTGCATCTTTATCTCACACATGCCCTCATTTGAACGATTTCTCACCTGTACTGAGGAGATGGCGTTCCCTTAGCATCACAGGTCAGAGTAGCTTCTTCTTCTATGGAGTCGACAGGAATGAACAAGTCACCTGGCTCCATCCTCCATCTTGGACCATGGTACGATCCAGTGTCCAAACAATCTGTCAGAAAAACAATGACAGCCTGAGCAAAACCGAAGAAAAGTGCCCATTTTGATAGGAAAGTTTGGCCTGCACATTTCCTCCATTCTTCTGGAAGAAATAGGACACTCAGTTATAATAGAAGGATGGACATTAGTAAACATGGGGAGAGACTCAATACTTTTCATTTCATCTTGCAACAAAAATGCAGATTCTTCGTAAAGAAAAGGCTGAATAACTTTAACAGGATGACATTCCTGTGACTTTAAAAGGAGAGATGTTTTTTGTGAATTTTCCATTTGATAAAATATAATAATGCTTTAGTATATCGTTGTATATTATAAGTTAAAATAAGACTTAAAGGTCCCATGTCATGGCCATTTCCACTGATCATAATTCCATTGTTGAGGTATACTAAAATAGATTTAAAGAGCAACTTGCAGTTTTTTGTTTTTTTTTACTACATTTATGCTCAACCTTGCCTGAAAATTACAATTAAAAATGTTAATGCAGGATTTGATATGTTTTACAAGACATAAGGGCAGGAATTCAGAGGAAAAGGAGCCGTTTTGAGCTCTGCTACTAAAAACTGCTTTTTTTTAACGTCATACGTCAAACGAGTCATATTACGTCACATGGGGGAGCAACTTTCTCGGACTCGTTCTCTGCCCAATCCGCGGTAGTAGTTTGTAGTTGGTTTGAGCGGTTGTGATTTAGTGAGCTGGTATTTTTTCGGTAATTTTACATTGCATTTCACCATTTGTAATCATGGTGAGCTGCCTGTCAGGACATCGAGTCTACAGTTTCCCTCACGGGAAAAGGACCGGAGCTAGCTTTCGTTCCTGGTTGCGTTGTGCATCCACCTCCCTGCAGCACCTACTCCGTCTCCACAGCTTTATCAGGAAACCGTATTACATCTCTCTCCCCCCCTTTGCTGCTCTCTCTCTCTCTCTCCCCTCCGGTACACAGCACCGTAAGACGTAGTGTGGAGTTGCATAGGAACCTGTGGTGGGCTGTATGCTCACAGCCGTCTCCTTTAATGTTTGTTTCCACCTAGTCTGTGTATGTTTGTGTGGCGGTGGTGGCTGGTGCTCCGGCTCAACCTCCACTCACCTGCTGCAATCAGCTGTGCACCCTCCCGACTAACACACGCTGCTTTCCATCAAAAGCCATTACAACGGCATGTCACGGAGGGCTCCCAAAACCTTTCTCCGCCCAGATCTCACAGTGTCAGTCGTATCTCGCGATCTCCCCGTCCGGTACACAGCACCGTTAAGAGTTATAGTGTGGAGTTGCATTAGGTAACGCGGAGATACGGACTGATTACTTGCCCATTAGTTTCTGTTATGGATCAGTTCAACAGTCCTGCCAGTACGTCTATATTATCAATACTTACTTTAGTTATAGCCTATATATGATGCTACTTTACAATGTTGTATTGACTGACGTTAGCAATTAACTGGTAGCTAACGCCGGTCACTCACCCAAGGACAGCTGCTCTGTTCTCCACTGGTTCTCCACACACACAAGCTCCATTTCTTCCGATTGCGTTATTTTTCTAATCCTTGGCTGCTCCTGTTCTTGGACGCATAGCAGGCTCATTTAATTATAATCATATGCATTCGATATATATTCAACCTCTTCTGGTGTCAAAACCAGCATTTCTTGTGATCCATGTTTATTACATACGTTAGACCGGCCGCTGTCCCCATGTTAGTCAACAGCTGAGTCGGTTCTGGCTAGAAAAGTCCGTCTAGTGTAAAAACTCTCGCGAGAGTTTGCAGTCACTTGGACTGAATGTTTACGTTTGTCAGGCAGCCTTTCAGTTACGATCGTTAAGCATCAGTGGCCACAGCAATGATGGTGAGAAGCTAACATATCTATTAATTATGTCAATTACAGGGAGTGTGAATTGTTGAAATAGGTGTTAGCGGTCTTGCTGTTCAAAGAATGGACAACACATGTAATCACGCAACCACTATGGTTCTAATTTTTATTCACAGGCAAGTCAACGTCTGTCACACGTAAAAGTCCCAGATAGACTCCTGGTGCAATTACAATGTTCCCTTTCGTGTTTTATGTGTATCTGCTGCATTAATGTGTATGTTGCATCATGGTTACTGCTTGTGATGTAGTTCCAGCAGCTGGAAAACGAGAGTTACAACGGGAAACGTGACGTCATATTTTACACAAGACGGTTCTTTCAGCCATAACCCGGGAGGTCACGTAGCGGAGGCTTTTTTATGGGAAGGTGAAAAATGTGCATACCTAAAACGGACGCCAGATGTCGACTGTAGTGTAATATTTCGTGTATATTATTTTGAAAGAATCTATGTATTCATCTTTTCCTACACATTTATCCACATGAGTGTCCCCTAACCTGCAAGTTGTCTTTAAATTGTGCAATTTCCAAAATCCACTTGGTTTCCCATACAGTTTTCGTCTGCTATAGCTATGTAGTATTCATCTGGCTCTGTCCCTAATCGCTTTGTTGGAACTCCTGCCCCCCCCCCTTCCCCACACCGACTCACAGCCTCGCCGCGTCCCGCCGTCTCAGTAAAGGTGTGTGTGTGTGTGTGTGTGTGTGTGTGTGTGTGTGTGTGTGTGTGTGTGTGTGTGTGTGTGTGTGTGTGGTGTGTTGTGTGTCGTGTGTGTGTGTGTGTGTGTGTGTGTGTGTGTGTGTGTGTGTGTGTGTGTGGAGCTCCATGGATTGGTTTGGGTATGGGCACGTCACTATACCCAGGAGGAAAAAGAGAAATCTCCAACGAGGCGTTCTGTGGCAGCATAGACAGGTACTTTCTGTGTTAGAGTTTTACTCACTACAGGGTGAACTTTGAGGGTTTGTGACTCTGCAGACCGTTTACATGCAGAAAAACCTTCATAACACACAAGGGGACGGGTAATAACCGGAAAAGCATGACATGGGACCTTTAAGAGGGGCAATCTTTGATTTGTTATGTGTTCACATTACAGTAACTGAGTGATGAATATCATTTGGAAAAAACATATCTTTAGGTAACAGTCATGATAGTCTTTGCTCTGTGTTTTGTGTGAATAATCATTAAAAGAAAAATAAACAGTGCCTTCTTCATCAGGTTGCTATCACAGAGTAGTGAGGAGGAGGAGGATTGAGAGTATTGTGTCTGTGTTGTGAATGGAAGTCAATACTGAGGAGTGCCCCTTTAAACGTGGGCCATCCTATCATCTCTGACACAGGCATTATTTTCGGCTCTTCAGCTATCATCTAGCAACTGTAAATGTCCAAACAAGAAATAATCATTACTCATATAAAAAGGTGGTTTACCTGCCAGACAGTCGATGATTGATAACAGTAGAAGCTGTTTCCATGGCAACGTCATCTTTGGCAGCCAAGGGCAAATGAGACTTTCATCCAATAAGCTTTGAAATGGCACTCGTGTTCTCCGAGAGAGGGGAGCTTGACCTGTTGAAACAAGATTTTTGTTGTAAAACACCAAACTCTGGGAAACCCAATATTTTCATCCCACTTTCAACCGGATATCTTTCAATCATCCATCAGGAGAAGACAGGATAAGTGTACATTTCAGAAGTAGAAATATATAATGATGATACAATTGTATGTTGCATTTGGTGCAAGATAAGGCTGCACAATATTGTTGTTTATCATTATATTGCACTCTGGGAATTTGGATTAATTGAAAGATAAATTCAGAAGAAAACTCCACTTTAAAATGAAGCTAGCACTCTTTTTCTAATTGGTGCCTTTTGTGATCATTCCATGTTCAATTTGTGCAATAAAAGAATGTTTGGAAGCAATTTGTTCCATTCAACAACATTATTGAATATTGCATATTTTGCTAACAGCTACCTAGTGCAGGATGTGTCTCATTTTACTTCTGCCCGTTTCCACAATTCTGATCGGGGAAGATCCAGGCAGTGTCACTTTGTGCCCTGTGCTTCGGCCAACTTGCACCCAGAGATGTCTGAGGGTGATACCAGAGGCATATGGGAAGAAGCCGATGCCAATCTATTAGGGGGGCGACCGACGCCTAAGCTCATCCTTCACTTGGATAGATTCACTCTGGCTGCCGGAGGAGACTTGGACCTGGGAATTGGGTGCCATCCAATCAATTAGATTCACCCGCAGCAGCATGTGTCTCCCCACATGCTGGGGTGAATCAAGACAGCCTGATGAGGAAGCCATTCCACCCAGGTCCATAATCAAGGGCAAGTGTCTGTCTGCGTGTAGCATGTTCTGCCAATTGCGATGCACCCGCTTCTTGCAGGAGGAGACTGAGCGAGTAATGATGCAATTATGAAATGTCAAACATACATACAAAGGAGAACCGGCAATATCACAGCAGTAAAGTGAGCAGTTACACATTTTCACGTGTATAGGCAGATGGTTGTACAATAGCGTGTACCTACATATTAACAGCAATACGAAGGTCTGCACACACAAAATCACAAATTTCTTCGAAAGGTGTTCAAGATATATTAAGGCCAGAGACTGGTAATAACACCAATCTGCTAAATGTCACACAGCCCACATACACCTACACTCCAAACTCACTTTCTCGCCATGTTCAACACGCATAACACCCTGCCTCCACACGCAAACACACACATGCACTCGCTTTCCATTTAGGAAACATAAGCCGTGATGTGCGGCTCATTTGTGGCTTAATCCCGGGGCAAGCCTGGTTCAGAGAGCTACTTATATAGGCTCTAATTGTTTGTCAGCTGCCTGGATGTCAAATCAGGCACGTGGGGTCTCAGCCAGAATTTTTCTTCCCTACCTTTCATGTTTGCTCTGTCCTTTTTCTTCGCCTGAAAGTCTGCACAATTGGATTGGTACGCTTCCTCTCAAGACGAGTCCTGCATGCCATACCTCAGTGATAGGCCCACGGTGTGCAAAGTGCTGGCACCTCAGGACTGAATATTGGTGTGTGTGTGTGTGGAACTACTGTCGACTTAGCATCTTGGTTTGCATTTATAATGGAGTTTTGTCAAGGGTGGCACCCCGGAACAACTGATGCAACGTGTTCCTTTTTTCCTTATGCAGATCTAATAAATAATTTACAAATGCAAAATAGATACAGATTTTGTCAGTGATATGACAGAGCTGATAGCTCAGTGCTTCACATGTACACACTGTATAATACTTTTCACACGCACAGTATACACAGATCTGAACATGAGGCACACACACACTCACACACTCACTCACTCACTCACAGCTTGCACTCATCATGGATAATGGTGCTACCGATGACTGTGATAGAAGGTGGTGAGAAAGGGTTTACGGGGTGAATCACTCTCAATCGCTGAGGCTTCCTTCCTGTACCTAGACACCACTGGGTTAAATAATGTAAAATCCTGATATCTACCACCTCCATCACACTACGCCTGCATCCAAGTAACACGCTGGTTGAACAAATAGTCCAGCTGGCAGAGTGGGAGTGTACTTACTTTGAAGGCCTTCGCTGCATTCATCACAGATATTCCAGCTGACATGCATACAGTATGCAATTACCTGCTGAATGTTGCTGTATCTCTAGAGGCTTACAGACAATCATAGCCAGGACACTTATCAAGGTTTGCTGAGGGTATTTTTTACCTTCATGCCTTTGAAAGAGGGTCCTTGGTAACACCTGGATACCTTTATTATGTATTTTTGTGCACACAAGCACCAGGCATGCAATTCCACCCAAGGCTGGTTACTCTCAAAAAATGTTTTAGTGTTGGCCTGTAGCAACACATTTCAGAGGGTGAGGTGAAGTGGAGCTGCAGTGTGGCACACCAGACCAGGTAGGAACCACAGGAGCAGTTAGAGGCTACAACAATGTGAGTACAGCATATCTGCATCAGTTGGTCAAAGAAAGGCAAAAAACTACTCCCTAGTTATAACAAACCCCAATGTGTCTGTGTATGAATGAATGCCCCTCCAGAACCAGACACTGTGGAGGAATTGGCTGCAGTTGGGAGGGCACGTCTCGTTACTCCAGACTAAACAATTATTATCAAATAAATGGCATTAGAAACTGATGAGCCATTTCGGGACAGCAGCCAAAACAGGCCGACATGTGAGCCTGTTAGGATGTATTAATATTTTAGCATATAAATATCACTGTGTAAATAATGTAGCTGTTCCGTATTTGTGCACGTTCCCAATTGTCAAGCGCGCTCAAGGGGTAATTATTTTTTGTCTTACCTCTTATCTTGAAATTTCTTGAGACCAGCAGGAACCAAATTCTGCCCTCACGGAAAAAGCGACAGATTGATCCTCCATGGAAAGCCTTTTTTTAGGGGAGAAAAATCGCAAGGTCGTTCATACAGGTGAACAATTGAGCCGGTGGTCAGTCAGAGATAACGGGTAATGCAGGAGGCATAAACATCCCGCGTTTCATATCGCTGCTCTCCTCTTTCTCCACTCCCCACTAAAAAAAACACACACACACACACATATACACACACACAACACCCACGTTGTTTGCCGTGCTGAATCACATTTGAAACATCCCCAGTTAAGAGGCTCGACTCTCGCCCTTGTTTGCACTCTCAAATCCAACACGCGTAGTTCTGAATTTGGACTTGGAGGGAATCTTGCAGAGATGATTTATTATGCGCATCAAGTCAGCTCCCCCTGCGAACAAGAAGAAGAAGAAGAAGAAGAAGAAGAGGAAGAAGAAGAAGAAAAAGAAGTGGGCTGTACGAAGGAGCAGCCACAAGCAGCAGCGCTGGGATGGGAAGGTGCGGGAGGGAGGAAGGCGCACCTGGAGGGGAACTGCGCCCCCCTGCGACAACCCACGATATGACAAACAAACTGTGAGCTTCCACGACTCAATATCTATCAGGGTTAACTGGCTCCCAGGTTTTGACATAAGCACAAGACTGAATATTTATTTTTAAAGATTTAAGGTCCTTGTGCCACACATGCCGTAGACAAAGGCTATAGCTAAGTCGTGGCTGTGTCTGTTGCTGTCGTCCATCTTCTTGTATACTTATTTATAGACACATATTTCTAGCATTTGGACTGTTGTAAATGTGTTATCTGTTTGATTTACAAATGTCACCTTTTGCACGTCTGTCCATCCTGGGAGAGGGATCTCTCCTCTATTGCTCCCCCCGAGGTTTCTTCCATTTTTTTCCCCATTAACTGTGGGGTCTCTTTGGGAGTTTTTCCTGCCCAATGTGAAGGTCCAAGGACAGAGGGTGTCAAATGTGTTCTGTATAAACTGTTAAGTCAACTGAGACAAATGTAAAATGTTTGATATTGGGCAATAAATACACTTTGATTGATTAATTGAGTTAATACCAAGAGGATGTATTGTAACTTAAAACATGACGTATAATAGTTAGGATAATTTTTTTTCACTAAGGGTGATTTATCAGTTTTCTGAAAAGCAGAAGCATGGCTTGGATCTTCTGTATATCTACATGGTTTGTAGTAAAAAAGATATTATTATTTTAGAAAAATGAACATTTACTGCAAAAGGACAGATTTAATTAATCCTAACAAAAAAAAGAAGCAATAAATAACATGTTTGTTTTATACCATAGGCAGAGTAATGTAAACTGTGGAAACTCTACCCGGCAAAATAGCCCTGTTTGCATAGGAGGCAAAGAAGCAAAGAAAGGGTTTGATAAAAACAAAATTTCTTATTATTGAGCTAGTTCAGTAAGTAACAAAACCTGCCTAATTATTAATACTGCTGGCTTTTAACCACTTTATCAGAGCACAAAGATCAGAGTATCTAGCGGCTACCTGGCTGCTAGGCTACTGTTATGTACAACATATGAAGTCGTTCTTGTTCATATGAAAATAAACGGACAGAAAATATGTTTTCATGGCCTATGGTTGCGCAGTTTCTTTGGAAACAAATGCAGTGTGTCCTGTGTTGTTGGTACATCTAAAGAAAATGGAAGGTGATCAGTTTGTCTTTACGACAGGGACACCAACAGAAAGACAGATCAATATCATATCATATATAGGAAAGGTATCATTATTTGCTTGGATTATTTTGGACAGTTTTAAAGCATGGGATACTGACCACTAGGGGTCCTAAAACTAACTCCTGAGAGAATTGGTTCTGGGTCTCCCCTCCACCAGTCACTTGTTGACTTCAGCGAGCTGTTCATTTCACACTAGACAAGCAACATTGACTCATCAGCTTGAGTGAGTTTATGAGCTAGGAGTGGCTGCCTGTTACAATATGTTTGGTCAGTGAGAGGCATCCGAAATGAAGCATACACGCAGGCGACCAATATAATGAGTTGCAAGTGGCTGAAAACATGGAGATGCCTAGTCGGGTTTCCAAATTACTTACAAATGTATGAGTGTGGGTTCTTCTTTCGGTGCTAGCAGGGCATGTATGTGGTGCTGAGTGACATCACTCAAAAATAGTTTTCTGATTGGAGGAGAGGGAAGTGTTGTGGGTACAACTGCACCTGTTTTTCAATGTGCAACTCACTGCACAACAAAAATGTGCCTGGTTGTTATGAGAATGTAAAGGAGCAAGTACCTGTGGTTAAAACCCACAAATACAAATTGACAAAATAAATGTTGGTGACATGTCTCTCTTTCTAATTGGCCCTTTCACTGAACATTTGACATGTCACAGTAGGGAAGACATGGAGGTACATAATAAAAAGAATGGCAGCTGAATTCAATTTAGCAGCTTGAGTTTCAGGATCCTGGTATTAAATAGAAATGAGTTGTAATTAATGCTGTTACCAACATCTGTGCTTTTGGTGCAATGACAAGCCAAATAGGCCCCTTTTCACATTAGAGAATTAGAGAAAAAAAAAAAAAAACATGTTTATGCCAGCACCTGACTGTTTGTTACAGGAGTGTGATGTTTCACCTGATATTATTTAATCCACATTATTCCGAACGCTTCAACGTTTTGCCTAAAACTCTTATTGTTAATATTTACTCAATTATATGCAATCTCTTTCATTATTTACTTAAAGATTTCCTCAGCACCTCATATCGTAATGGAGGATCAAGCAAAAAGTAAATAATTTTTGTATCTTGTACAATAGATTTTCAAGTTCACCGAGACAAATTGGAGATTTTGGGCTCTATAAAGACATTTTACTTTACTGGAGTTGACTATAATTAAAAACTGCTTTCGCCAACTGAAATAAATTGGGTTGCTGCTGAGTTGCAGAAGGCTGACATTTCCCTGTTTTTGATAAGCATCCGCTGACAGCTTTGGTTCATGGTGAAAGGATGTATTTCCCATGACGAGACTGGAAAGAATCTGCTCTCCAAGTCTCTTCCTCCATTTCTCATTCGCACTCTCAAACTTTCAGCTGGCCTTCCTTCCTTTTGTCTCTCTTGTTCTTTCTGTCTGACTCTTCCTCTAAGTCAATACATGTCACCCTTGTGTATATTACCACCAGGCCAATATGTGTACTGGGCCTCAGAGAAGTCTAAATGTATTACCCATAGACTGTGGTATTACCATACGTTCTGGGATTCCACAGCCTATACGAGGAGCCCCATTAAACCTACATTGATCATTCTCATTTCAGGTGAAGGTTCTTTTAACATGGCCAGGGCATCGTTAATAATGCTCTATACAGCAGCCATTTGACATTTCCTTTAATTATGCCTGTAATTTATTCATGCACTTGATCCTAGGAGCTTGTTGTGAAAAGCTTCCTCCAGGAATATTTTACCCTGGTCCTCTTGAGGCGCATGGATTAACCATCTTAATAGCAACCCCCTGAAGGTATTACTTCCTTCATTGTCTGTGTGTGTATAACGTGTGTATACTGTGTGTGTGTGTGTGTGTGTGTGTGTGTGTGTGTGTGTGTGTGTGTGTGTGTGTGTGTGTGTGTGTGTGTGCGTGCGTGTGTGCGTGTGAGAGACAGCAATGAGCATTGTACCTCACATGTGTGTGTTAAGCTGCAAAAGTCATTAGGTCTTATTTCCAAACCATTCAGACTACTCGATGTAAAGTCTCCTGTATGACTAGCTTCTCTAATTTTGGAAGCGCATAAAGAAAATTGCAAATGGTTGCAAGATCCATGCTTATCGCAGAACACAGCAACCCCCATGTTTAACCCAGTTTTGCAGAAGGAAAACATCACCGCTTAATTTGCTCACTCTGTTGGTCGGTTAACAGACAGCGAAACACAGCAATTTCCCCACAAAGTAGCGGAGGAAATCTCAAATGCACACACTTGAAATGGGATTTGAGATGTTAATTATGATGTTTCTTCATCGCAGCACAGTGTGCGCTCAACTCTAGAGTGCACACCTGACAAAATTCCTCAGGCTTTGTTGGGGAAAATGCGAGCATTTGAAGACTGGAAGTGGAGGCCCTTATATGAGAAACACACTCACACACACACACACACACACACACACACACACACACACACACACACACACACACACACACACACACACACACACACACACACACACACACACAAGGTAGAAATGGAAAGCAATTTGTCACCTGTAAAAGGAAAGTGATTTGTCAATTTGTCAGGACTGGAGGAAACACATATACCCTACTTTATTATTTCATGAAAAATTGAACAGCTATTGCTGCAAATATGTAAACTTACATTTCTTTCCCGTTTGTTGTAATCATTTTTCACAAAACCATAAATCGTCTTCCTTTGCTCAATTCTATAATACATCTAAACATAAAGCATCTCTCACCCACATGGTTGTCAATCTAAAACAATTTGGCTGTTGTCTGCAGTTCACAAAGACACTGGTATTAATGCTCTCTCTCTATGGTATTGACTCAGGGAGTTTTCCTCGTTGGTGTCTTTCTTTCTTTTTTACGTTTCTGGTAGCCTTAGTTCATTAGCCAGGCTGTTGCATAGAAGACTAATGGGCCAGCATACCTTTTATTGCATACTGCAATTCCATGGCTGTGGAGGTCCATTACTTTGGAGGATCAAGAATTTACTCTCTATTGCTGCTGATAGGGAGGCTTTGCTAGAGGCTAATGACGGGAAAGATCCACTTTGAGATAAATCCTTCAGTAGGTCAATAAAAAATGTGCTCGGCTGCAGAAGAGTCCTGCAATTAGAATACAGCCTGTGAGGTCTGAGCTGGGGGGAGTCCAGAGAGGGACTGTCCGTAAGTCTCTCGGTCTTTCTGTCTGTCCTCCCTTCTTTCCGTCCTTCCTTCCGTCTACATTGATCGCACAAAAAGGTTGGTAAAGGTGCAATTTGTGATGCCTGGCCCCCCTTCTATAAAGGTCTCCTATTATACTCTTTTATACTCATCAATATATTATAGGTCTCAGATATATAAAAAACATGTCTCTGAAGTGTTTGCCTCAAAATACCAAACAGATCCTGCATTGTAGCATCCCATAAACCCCTCAGTTTCAGCCCTGTTTCAAACTTGCTGATTCTCTGTCTGTTACTTTAGATCAGGGGTGTCAAACTCAAATATACAGTGGGTCAAAATAAAAAAATGGGTACTAGTCGAGGGCCAGACTGGTTAAATGTTTATTGCAAAACTTATTGAAATGAACTTATTGCACATATTAAACCTGGAACTAACAAAGCCTAAATGATTGCCTATAAAAACAACATTAAACATTAAATAATCAGTTGCATTCATTTCTTATGGCTCTATCTGCAGCTTTTCCGGAGTCATTTCTTATGATTACATTTTTCCACAGGCCAACAACAGCTTCAAAAAAACTATTTCCCTCAAAGAAAAAAACAAACATGCCCTGTTGT